TCCCCTCTTTCGAATTTCTTCACCTCGTCATTCTATCGTTTTTACAAGTTGCTACAGGATGTAAACCAAAAACGTATGTGCAATTGTCGGAGTGAGTGTTGTCCCATATGTCACTTCTTTATAGCCGACCATTTAACTTTTGATTGAGGAAAGAGTGAACAACAAAGTGAACAAATACTGAAAAAATTCAATAAAGAAGAGAAACAACGATTCCGGCATATCCTTTGGAATAAACAATTCGGCTCCTAAAAAAAAAAAAAAAAAAAAAAAAAAAANAAAAAAAAAACTCTTGAGTTTTCTGGATTATCGGTCGCGTTGCTCATGTCTACAAAACAACTCCACACTTGAATATTACGTTGCCAAACGAATTTGCCATTATTTCGCACCCTATCTTAGTAACGAGTGTAGAAGTGAAACTCAAATGAAGTAACCGAGAAGTCATCGCATCGCACCTGGGAAATTTTTCATATCGTTCAAGGTCATACATCTAACCTTTAACTTTTAACATCTGAGCATAAATTTCTTATGTTTTACATCAATGTGTTTCAATTTCCTCTCCTTTCCTCTTGTTCTTTTTTTCCGTCGGAGTTATAGAACTCCATTTCCTTCTTGGATTCGGTGAAGTCATGGGACTTTTCGGTCATATTGATATCAATTCTCCTCTTTTTCCCAGAAATTAGGTTTCGGTTATGGACAGACATCCTATGTCCGCCAGGGTTTCACAGGATTACAGGCCAAGTCAGACGAAAGCGTCTGTCTAAAAAGGGTACGCTCTTGCTCTGCCCAAGTTAGATTCAATGCAGGTGAACAGGTCGTTCAGCCAGGGAACGTTCGACTCAGTTGTTGGTTTCTTTTTTTTTTAAATTTTGAGGATGAAACTTTTTTGGCTTCGATCTATATATCTACTACAGTCGAAATCTTCAGACTGGACGATTTGACAGCTTTGGCTAAATAACATCACATCATTGTCAGCCATTTAGTTAACCTGATTGATCCCTGGCCATCAATAGCGTCTATATACGTAGTACAACAAATTTCAATTCACATGAAAGTGGTACTTCCACCTGAAATTACTTAACTAAACGGTGTAGGATTTCTACCATGACAAAATCACAGGTATTTATCTGTAAGATCAGAGGTTCTGTTAAAACATGGAGACCCATGGAAAGCTGCAGAGTTGCCAATAAGTAAGTAAGACTTACAATTTAAATTCATGGTGAGGGAAGAATTCTTTAAACATGATGCCATTTTGGCTACTATTATGCTACGTGCCGCATTTTTTTTTTTTAGTCAGTGAGAACCAAAGATAACGGTTCAGTAAGAGATGCTAAGAGAAAGGCTATGAGTTTAGAGAAGAAAAAACCAAAAAAAAAAACAAAAATCTTCAATTCTAGCTGTAGCATCAATCGACTGTTTTTGTAAATCATTTTCTGCTCAGTCATTTACATAAATGGTGAATAAATATACACAAGTACCTAAAAATCAAGCATGACCGTTTGTTCGAGCAGTAATTAAGGTGATGGTGGTCATGGATTCGGCACCCAGAAGAGCTCAATTTTTTACTTTTGAAACTTTTGTTACATGGGTATCTTTATGGATTGCGTAAAGACAAGTTATGCTATGTAGTCAATACAGATTCAACTAGTTGCTATAACAATACTATAAAGAATCATACTTGAGCGACGACCATTCATTTTCATGCTAAACTTTCGTAAGTAATTCCTATTGTTTGGAATTTAAACCCAACACTCAATTGGAGATGTGAAAAGAGATGATGATATAGAAGTAGCTGAATAGCGGGAGACATTCTTCTTTACATCTGTGTTTGGTCATTCACAAATTTTACACTTCTAACGTCATTGCAGATGGTTATTATTGATGCAGTTTACTTAAGCATTTCATGATAATAAGAAGTGTAAATATTTATACATATATATATGTATGATTTCAACTGTACGTGATAAGCCAAGAAAGCGAAAAGAAAGATGGAGAGACCATTTCAAGCAATTGTAACGGGAGCAACTGGTATCAATGGTGTTGCCATAGTTGAAAGACTATTAAAAGAGCCCCATTGTATTCAAATCCATTGTATATCTCGTAATCTAAAATAAAAGTTCCCTGAGAGGGTTAGACACCACTCAATTGATCTGATTCAGTCGTCTCCTGAACAAATTGCAGAGAAACTTCATAAAAATGGGGTTACGAATATCACTTATGCCTTTTATGCAGCCTACAAGGAGGAATCCAACGAGGTTGATATGTGCAAAACCAATGGGACGATGCTGAAAAACTTTGTACTTGGTCTCGAGAAGAGCAATTCTAGGTCCTTAAGGAGAGTTGTCTTGACAACGGGTTTGAAATATTACGGCCTACAATTTGGTGCTTCAAGACTTCCACTGGAGGAATCCGATGGTCGTATCCCTGAAGACTTTTCAGGCCACCCAAACTTTTACTATACCCAGGAAGACATTCTTAAAGAAATAAGCGCTAATAAACAATGGGATTACGTGATTGTTATGCCTAGTACAATTTGTGGTGCTTCGCAAGGAAGCTTTATGAACCATATCTTCACTATTTATCTCTACGCAATTATCTGCAAAGAATTGAATGAACCATTTTATTTTCCCGGAAACGAGAAACTGTATATGGGATTCGATGACATTTCTTACTCTGTTTTAATTGCTGACTTTGAAGTTTGGGTTAGTCAGAAACGGGAGGCCAGCAAAGAACTATACAACATTGTAAACGGAGACGTTCACAGTTGGTCAAAAACATGGCCAAAGATTGCTGACTATTTTAATTTGAAAGTGCCAAAAAACCAATTTAACAACTGGTCTTCTTTGAGTGACAAAATGAATCTATCCACTCCTCCTCCTCTCAAGTTACACCAAGAAAAGTTGGGCCTTAGGGACGTATCAAATAGTGAAATAATCAATCATATGTCCTTATCCAAATGGGTCCAGCAAGACAAGGTGAAGAAGGCATGGAAGCAAATCGCTGAACGTAAAAATTTGGAGCCTAGTTTGTTGGACGCAGGTACGTGGAAATTCACCGACTTTACGTTAGGAAAAACGTACAATGTCGTTGCATCCATGGCTAAAGCTCGTAAATTGGGCTATCATGGGTATTATGATAATTTCCAAGCATTCAAAGAAACGTTTGATACCTTAAAACGTGGAAAAGTTATTCCTTCTTGATTTGAAGGTGTCATGATTTGGTTTGCTGAGTTTGTGGAGCTTATATCAAACGTGTAATCACGAGTAGAAATGCAGTTTATATAGTTTTATCATTAAAAAACTCACGTAGCATTTGTGATTAGTCTTAAATTTACCTCTGTAGTTAATAATGCACACTTTGTTACATAAATATGCTCTTTCGCTTTTTCATCCTTTTTTCTTTTTCTTTTTTTTTATCTATTGGATATCTCGGGATTGACTGCTAACTTGGACGAATGGAAAAGAAGGTAACGACGTACAAATAAAGTGGGAATATGCGAGGATGCTCGTTCCTTCTATCGTACTAAAGAGAATCTTTGAATGTGATATCAGTTTCTAGAGATATCTAGAACAGCGAGTTTAACAAGGTAAAACGGAGCGGAGCATTCATGAAACAAAAGCGAAAAACAAGATTGAAAATAAATAATTCAAAAAGAATTAAGAAAAAAAGGATGAGTAAGAGAAACCAGGAACTGGAACGAACATGTCCAAATCTCTAGAAGAACCCGGTGGTGGCAAATCATCACATCTGGAAGGTACAAAGACCCTCATAGAATGTTTGTTATTTTCGGTAGCTCAGGTATAAATGGGAGCCAAGTATAGACGATTCAACAACATTGACAAAAAAGAGCAAGAGTGATTTTTATTTTGATTGTTGCGTGAAATAAACGAGTGCTTTTTACAATGTCTCTTCAACCTTTCTTCGATTTATATCCATTTCAAGACGGTCTTTCCGACTTTTTGAGTTATTCCCCTCGCGTTCAACGCCAGGATCGTGCTGTTGGTTTATCACCTGCCATTGATGTCCATGAAGGCAAAGACACGGTTGCTGTTGATGTAGAACTTCCTGGTGTCAAAAAGGAAGACGTTCAAGTTCACTACGACGAAGGAAAACTGACCATTTCTGGAGAATCATTCAATGAAAGAAAAAGTGAGGGAGAGAAAGGAAACCAACGATGGTCTGAACGTCGCTTTGGATCCTTCTCCCGAACTATCTCCATCCCCAGCAGGATCGATTCCGACCGTATTGAAGCCCAATTTTCCAATGGCATTTTGAGTATTGTTTTGCCTAAGGTTGAGCAATCTCGCTCCAAGAAACAAATCGCCATCAATTAAGCTGAAGGGCTAGCGATATTGAGTTTATGATGATATGATTGTATTCTAATGAGAATTAATAATGGCATAATGGCTTTTTAATATATCATAGCGTTTTAATGAGAGTCTATCAATTTTAAAAGGTACTAATTTCAATAATGTTTATTTCAAGTAGTAGTGTGGCCCAGGAATGTGCGGTGGCATCTATCTTGCCAGTACGATTTCAGCCGTCTTGACCTGAATAGTTTATGATATTACCAACGGTTACGGCTTGCGAATGGTAATGGTAAAGGTCGCTGGACGTTTTTTCCATATCCATCATTATTATAATAAGTTAAGCTTGACATTGTATTGAAGTAGGATCAACAACTAAAAAAAAAAGAACAAAGTGTTAAAGAGCAAGAGTAAAATATTTAAATCTTTTACAGGTTTCTTTTCTGTAAGACTTTGCAAAGTACAATGGCACTAAATGATGAATCGTGTTATACTGGATATTACTTTTTTATTTCTTTTTTTTGGCTAGACAACATAAACAAAGCATTATGTTACTCTTCAGACAACACTACCATATGGGAGAGGTGACGGTATACATCGAAGAATAGCGGTATTTTTAGTCAACGTAATATAGTTTAGCGAAGGATTCCGAAGGAATACGAAACTGGCAAAGTCATTACTTCACCTCTGCAAAACTCTGGTTATTGCCATTGCGGACTCATTTCTCGGTTTTTTAGAAATTTTCAGCTTTTTCAGCTTTTTAGTTTAGGGTCAGTCAATTTAGGCGCTTTTCTAGAAATTTGCATGCCTTTTGACCCTTCTACTGCGTCGTAATTCTCCAGTTTCACAGTGCAGTCCTAACCCATCGCATTGGTGACAGATGATTCTATTCTAAGAAAATGAACGAAAAAGAAAAAGAATTTCAGCTAGAGGCTGTGAAACCAGCCGAATCTTTTTACTTGAGCTCTTCTGTAAGTTCTGACAGCTGTTTACCGAAATACAGTGAAAAACCCTATTCACATCTGGACGATATGGAGAAAGGTTGTTTATGTTTACATTCTGATCCAGCTCCACCGTACCCAGAAAACAAAGAATCTTGCATAAACATGCGACTAAACCTTTCCTTCGAATCATTAACGAATATCTTCATGACATTAAGGAGTCTCTTCATGGCATTACCGTTTCTAGTTTTCTGGCCGGCAAAAATTGCGAGAATTCCTGAAGCACGACGCAGAGAGGAGAATGGAGCTGTCCGGCTTGGTTGGTGCTTTATTGGTTCAATCGTATTGGACTTTTTCTTTTCTTACTTTTTCCTTGTCCCCTTTATAAAGGAATCGATGAAAGAATCTGTAGGGTTACGGTATCAGATTGCTCTAGCTATTGTTCTTGTCATCGCGGCTTTCTACATGTTCTTATTTGTTTTTTCACGTAAGTAGAATGGTGGAATTTTAATTTGATATGTTTACTAATGGGGTACTTATAGTGTTGCTGGATTTTATTGCTTTAGTGCTTTCTGGGATTGCTTCTTGGATTTCTGGGATTGCTTCTTGGATTCCTTGGATTGCTTCTGGGATTGCTTCTTGGATTATTGCTGCTCTTGGTTTCAGGATGTCGTCGGAAAGAAACGACTCGACGGATGGTAACTGGATCCCACTAAACACTATGCCAGCAGGGTCTGAAAATCAATCCAACAATCGTAGTGATAATACTGCCGGACAACCATCATCTGACTGTTTTGAGCAACATCCAAGGACACATCACAAACCGAGTCAGGCTAGGGATGCTGAAAGCACTGGAAACGAATCTCATGCTTGAACCATTCTTATGATGATGTCCTGTCTTTTCAATTTACTGTCTAAACAGGCTTGTGTTTTGTTTTTATATTTTTTTTTGTTTCTTTCGTTTCCCGTTGTATTTATTTCCGTTGAGCTTTTGCATATAAACACAATTCATAGGCCGTTGTTGTTGAAGCTCTAATGGTTCCATCGTAGCTTTGAGCAATGAAAAAGTGAGGTCGTCGCAGGATGATATGGATTGTTGACTCTCTAGTTGGTTCTTTCTAATTCGCATGTTGGTTGTTATTTATTCTTCTAAAACTCTTAATTCCTAATTCTTTTTAATTTGTTTAATAGAGTTAATAAGAATTTAATTATTGATTCAAGGATAACCATTGCTTTTTTTGCTTCCGCTTTAGTATCACCTTAGTCAAAGGTCCATGCCTCTCAAAAACGACAGGCATATACCTTCAATAAAAAGGAAAGAACAAAGGTAGGAGAAAATCCTGCAAAAAAATAGTTGCACAATAGCAGGTCCCCGAATGTTAAGATTAGGTAGAGACGATCTCGAAGAAATATGGAACCCAGATCTGTGCAGGTTTAGGATGGATATATATCAAGGTTTTAATAACCTTCTAGACGAGTTCCAATTACCGTGCGTCCGTATCCAAAGCATTCTCGAGCTTGTCTTTAAAGCTTGGCATGTTGGGTTCCCAGCCTAGAAGCCTCCTTTCGCTTTCCTCTACAATCATGTATTCAATACCTAGCGGCCGAATAAAGCCTTTCTTGCATGAGACCTTGGCAGCCAACCGCAGCATTCCTTGATTCACATAAAAACCATTTTCTGCTAGGTAATACCTTTTTTCGTTTCAAGTGGCACGTTCACTACCATTCACAGCAGCTTCTGCCAGTAGCACGTGGAGTTTGCTTAAATCCTGCAGATGGATATTATGCCAAATGTTATCACCTTTTTCAACCACCTTGATCTATTTGTTTTGAAAAATAACTCAAATAACGGAAACTAATTCTCCTTATCCGGTCCCCGACCTATGGCATATATGACAGCCGGAGCGACAATGGCCGTTATGACTTGGCAGGATCCGCAGACAAACAACTTTATCTACCTTGCAATGGGATGCATGATTTGGAACATGATCCTAATCGTCGTAAATCGTGTCAAAACACTCTCCATAATTTCCGGTGAATAAAGTCTCTTCCGTGAGAGCCAATGCACGAGAAGTATGAATATAGCAGGCAGGATTCTTGGCTTGGCGACGACTCAAGCCTCGAACGATTTGCTCTTGCTGATGGTACATGTTCATCACTAGCAGCAGAATGAAAGACAATATCAGCCTTGGAAAGCTTGCTCTTCAATTAAGTCTACATCATCGGTACTCCCATATACCAATCTCGCTTGAGGGTATGCATAAGCTACATTGGCACAGCCCCTTGCTTGACTACATACCGAAGAGGACCATTCCCACTCTGGATGTACGCGGGAATCGTTATATAAGATATCTCCTCCCAGAAATCCCGTCTATTTCACCTTAATGAATGAATGACAGACAAAGAGAAGATATTGATCTAATACGAATATCCTTGGTGTTACGTTACCACATTCATTTAATTTATTTTTTTCATCCCATATTTTTTTTGAATTGTAATTAAAAAAGAACGTTGCAGAGATATTTTTTTTTGTATAAGTGAGAAAGTATGGCGATAAGAGGCTCAATTACGATGAATAGGAATCAGCTAAAAATTTATCAGACAAAACAAGAGAAACGCAAAAAAGGAGAAGCCTACGGCACCCCGGATTTCCATGTTGTCTCCAACCATAGCACGAAACTAACGAGACCCTCAGATGCTTTACTGCAGTCATCGAACGGGAACTGGTCTGGTGTTTTTGCCTAGATGCGGCCGTAGACGTTTGTTCCTGTCTGTAAGATTACTAGTAATTCAGTGTGTTCCAGTAAGGACTTTCTTGTTTACATTTTGAAGCAAACACTCTTCTGTATGATTACATCGCAATATTTCGGCCTTGACTACCGTTTATGAAAGACGTGCAATTACACGACACTGTGTTGAGCTAAACAATAGTTTATTGCAATGGAAATTTTCGTCAAAATATGTAAATAATCATTAAAAAGGGTGTTCGATTCTACTCACGAAGAAAATGAACGATACGTAAACAACGATATTGCGAGACGAATTAAAAAGATTCATGAAAGAGTGAATGAGAAAAGCAATAAAACTCTGCTGGACCCGTCTGATCCTTGCGTTTGTGAACTCGAATGCACTTGATGGACAGCAATGTACACGGATGCTCCCAAAGAAGTGGCAAACTACAAAGAAGTAAAGCATTCTCAGTAAGATCATAAATAAAAAATCAAAAGCTCAAACATTAGCCCTTTGCTCAGCAAGAGGTTGAAGTTCGATCTCTTCGTTACGAGGTGGACCATTCCTGCTAATTCTATTCTGAAAGGTTAATGAAAAATCCTAAATTAACAATACCAAATGTACTTACTAGACGTGTAGGCACATGATCTTCAATTAGATCTGGGTTATCTGAACAAGTTAGAACAGTTGATAGAAAATAGAACCTTACGAATGAGAAGTACAAAGAAGCATATGTTCAGTACTGCCAAAACCACCGACACCGCAGCTGAATGTATATATTCAAATCCACCTGATAATTTCAAAACGCAACCACCGACTCCATTCAAACTTATCAGCATAATTAGGGCTTTACACACAGCTGGTGCCACTTTCTTTGTTGCTCTTCCAGCTTGCGTGAACCATTCTTTAGGCATTTGAGTTATTACTAATAGTTAGTGAGTCATTAAAAATCCTGAAATTAGTTTCTTACCAATTGTCAATGACAGAAATAGAGCGCACCAAACGCCAAAAAGTACCCAAACGGCAAGCTGATTAAACGGAATTTCGTAAACAAGAAGAATGACCCTCGCAATAATTAAGCATACATTATATACAATAAAAATAGCAAAAACAAATGCTAATTCACGAGGCGTCAGATATCTTTTCTTTTTAGAACTTTCTTCTGTTTCAGGAGCCATTTCTAGATCTATAAATTTGTTTGAAGCTAATGAATGTATTAGTAATAATTCGTTGTTTACAAAAGGATAGAGGTGTTTGCTGACAGTTATCAACAAGGTTATTGATTTCAAAACCCAACAATCAAATAAACAAGCATGATTCTTCCATTAAGAACCGTTCAAAAAGCACGCAAAAAATCAACCTTTCCTTTCTATTTTAACTAATCTTACCTGTATACGGAGGAGGCGTACCATCTGAAGGAGACGACCGACTATCTGCCTTTTCATCATTGAGCGTTTTGGAAGAGTCATCAGAATCTGAAATAGGGGAGTACTTGTTTTTCATATTTACAATGGCAATTAGATCCCTTTAATGATACTGACTTTTACACTCTAAACGAAATCAACTAGAATCACCAAGAAAAGTCCGTAGAAACTGGTTCCACTTCTCAAGGATCTGTCAAAAAATCTGTCAGGAAAAAAAAGGAATTGGATCTTGCTTAAAAGCAAACTTTGTTTTGCAACACAATGTTTCTTTAAAACCAAAGATACGATTCTGAAAAAATCTTGGTAGTGGCCTTTCGCATGTCTCAATTCATAAAGCTGCGACATTATGTCACTGACTGGTCACAGTCCTCATTGCGATTTTTCGTAATAGTATAATCCAAAAGAGTCGTCGTTTATTACAAAATGTAAACATAGAACCAGCGTTAGAAAGAACAGTGCTAATCAGTTTGAATGATATTCAAACAGGATCGGACTTTGCTTTTTTTGAAATCCCCCCAGTTGCATTTGCAATAACTAATGCTCTAGGCTTCAGGATGCCGTCGGAAAGAAACGACTTTACGACTGATACTGTATCCCGTTAAATACTATGCCAGCAGAACCTGAAAACCAGCTCAGCGATCGTAGTAATGTTACGTTCAAACAACCTTCCTCTGAACATACCTCTGAACATACTGAGCAATCTCCAGGGTTACGCCAGGAACCGGATCAGTCTAGGGATGTTGAAAGCGGTGGGAGTTGATTTATACGGAAAGTAAAGCATTGTTTATTAGGATGTCCGTTCTTGTTGTTTTTCTACAGCATGCTTATGCTTATGTTTATGTTTCATCTTTGCATTTTGTTTCTTATATTTATTCGTCAAGCAGTTTTTAATTTACTGATCCTTATAAAATCTTTTCATTTCTAACTTATAAGGAATTTAATTAATTACTGAATCATGGATGGCTTTTGCTTCCTTGCAATCACTAGTATCATTAAGTCAAAGGACCATGCCGATCAAAATGACAGCCAGGCGATGCTTTTATATAAAAAAGGCAAAAACTAGGAAAAGCCTACAGCACCCCGGTTTCCCATATTGTCTCCAACTATAGTACGAACGAGGCCCTCAGACGTTTTCACTTAACTGCTATGATCGGACGGGAACTGGTGTTTTCGCTTAGGTATGGGCGTAGACAGTTAACGAGTTCATTTAAACATATTCATACCGAATAATAAAAGAAATAGTATCTATGTGCATCATGTCAAAGCATACTTGTCTCATTTGTTTCATTATTTCGTTGTCTTGTGATAAAACTTTTTTATCTACATGTTGACCCTACCTCTTTTCGTCTATATACTCCCACTCTATGCTGCTAAACTGTGTATACAAAACAAAGAGGCAGCAACTTGGAACGTCATCTCTAATATAAGCGAAATGACAATGTCAATGTTGAAAATAACAACACAAGAAATAGAATAGAAAAAGCAAAACAATAGAATACAGTAAAATAAACAAATTAGAAAACACAAAATATCGTAAAGAAAATGACGAATTATAGAGTAAAAAGAATTTATGTGTACAAGTTTGCATTGTTTTTTTGCAAGTAGTTTTTTTTTTGGTACTGAATTATACTTCTGGAGTATTCGATTGTATTTTATATAAAATTATATATAGGCATATATATTTGAATTGCCATAGGTATCACGGGTGTCACGAGAGAAATCTCACACGTTATGAGAATGTAAATCGAGTGGAAGTAATAAAGTACAATCACAGAGTTGTTTATTGAAATTGAACAACTTAGTACTATGTAGAAGGATAGTATTACGTCGAAGGATCTGATTAACTAAATGAAACGACTAAGTGTCAATCTTATTTAGCTTGGTAGGCATAAAATAGATTCTTCAAGTCATCTTGACATACATCTGAGGGCGTCATAAACTGCTCGTTACTACTGCACCCCGTGTCTTGTGGTATAAACATATTACGATAAGCAGTGTATTTTCCTCGTTTACTATTCCAGATTGATGTGCTTGTTCTGGTCTGAACTGCGTACAGGCTTATTTCGAATGAACTCAGGTAGCGAATCTGGATTAACTAACGCGTCCTCTAAGGAGGTAACAGGACGTATTTCATCATATGGGAAGTGGTCATACTTATAGTGTGTAAAAGACAGCCCGTAAGCAAACAATTGATAGCACCTCAACGTTACGGGATTGAGGGTATCAGTATCAGTTTCGGTCGTATTGCTTACAATCGCTAGTATTTGTGTATCGTCAGTGGCTATAACTGTGTTGCCTGGAAAACCAAACGCGGACAAACATGTAAGAAAATTTACCGTATCTACATGTGTGGAATTATCTCTTGGGATGGGTTAAAACAGATTTCGGTCTCCTAACAAAGCGTTAAGTCCATTAGCTAGGAGAGAAAAATAAGCTAATATGACACTAAGCATCTTAGCCTTGGAGACTTGGACGAATGGGGTTTGTTTGTGCGTGCTTGCTTACTTAATTATTTACTTACTCCATAACATTATGAGATCTGTATAGTACATCCGTGCACGCTCTCGGTGGATTACTTTAGTAACGCGTTGCAAAAAATTACGTAGCAGCGGTGTCAAATGTTACGTAGCTATAAACTTGGTCAATGTGCTTATCCGGTGCATGTGGAGTTGATTACTAAAGTTGATTACTAAACTTCAAAGTATTGGTATTGGCTCCCTATATATATTGCATAGATTCACCAGGATGTGATTCCAAGATATTACCCTATTACCTACACACCCCGATCCAACGACTATCATAATGTCTGAGAAATCTGTTTTCCTCCTTGGTCCAGGCTATATTGGCGGCCAGATATTGGATTTTCTCTTGCAAAGAAATTACCATGTAACAACCTTGACTCGCCGGGAATCCACTGCCGCCGAATTCCACGCCCAGGGTATAAAGACTGTGATCGGGTCTCTGGACGATAGATCCCTCATTCAGAAGCAAGTCTCTGTCAGCGATATTGTTTTCCATACAGCAACGGCCGACCACTTACCATCGGCAGAAGCCATCCTTGATGGGCTGGAGGAGCGTGCTAAAAACAACCTGCAAACGATTTACATTCACACCAGCGGTGCAAGCGTCCTAAGCGACAATAGCGCCGGAGCGTTCAAGAGCGATATGGTTTTTGAAGATGACAAGCCTGAAGACATCGACGCACTCCCTGACTCTGCGCCGCATCGCACCATAGACCTAGCGATTGTGCGTCGCCGGAAGATCCTCGGCAAGCGCGCTAAAATTGCCATTATGATCCCCCCGGTTATTTATGGCGTCGGTCCTCCTGGAAGATTGTCTATCCAGCTCCCTACCTTAGTCCGGTATGCTTTGAAGCACGGCTACGCAGGCCAGGTTGGAGAAGGCCGGTCAGTCTGGAGTCAGATTCATGTTAAAGACCTAGCGCGAGGGTATCTGACACTCCTGGATTGGTTAGAGCGGACTCCGCCCGAGGAGGTCCTTCCGAACCCATATTGGTTCTGTGAGAACGGCAACGAGTTGTCATGGAATGATTGTGCAGCGGAAATTGGACGCGTGCTTCACCAGGCGGGTAAGATTGAGAGTCCTACTCCCCGGACTATTCCTGTCAGTAACTACGGGGATATTTTTGGGAAGTGGACAGATGCTGTGGTAGGGACGAACTCGCGAAGCAGGGCAAATCGACTACGAGAGTTGGGGTGGGAGCCCAAGGAGAAGAAGACATCGGCTTCGCTGGCCGAGGATGAAATTCCTTTGATTATGCAGGAGACGGGTCCATTTGAGGGTTATGGAAAGGTTGTTGCTTCATGAAAATAGATGTTTTGATTCTAAAGAATTAGTATGATATAAATCAAAAGTCGGCTATAGAAAATTACTATGATTTGTCGTTCATAAATTATCGTTTTTATGCTTTCATGTCTGAAAATAAAAAAAAAATAAAATAAAAAGTTCTTCACTTGCAATGCAACTAAGCTGGTAGGGTAGTAACTTTTGTTGAAAATTGAAAATTACTAGAATTCACCACTTGTAAAAATGAGGAAAGTATTGAATTAACTTTGTTGAAAATGACAGAATAAGTAAAACTTAAAAATAAAATGTCTAGAATTGAAAATGCTAACATTCAATGATACTGTTGGAAAGAGTAGTATAAAGGGATTTCACTGTATTGGAACATTTATGGAATTAACGAATTGTTTTCGTTTAAAAATATTTTTAAAAAATTTATAGGGTAAAGCTTGTTTGACTTCATTCGTCTCATAAAGTACAGCGTTCCTGAGGGAATGGGAACACAGAAAGGATGATGTGGATACTGATTGTCATTTTGATTATGGGACAATCACCCTACTTATTCAAAGAAAATATGAATTTTTACAAATCAAACATCCAGGAGTAAATATTATACCTGATTGGGTTTGAGTTTCCTTTGACAAAGATGTGATTTCGTAAGTAAAAAATTTCTATTGTATTTGTTCTGTCTTTCTTATTAACAATTTGCTTTAGAGTAAATATTGCAGATATGTTGCCCTTCTTGACCAGTGGAAAAGTAAAGAGCAGCATCCATCAGGTAAAAATTGATCCGGAAATGAGGAAAGGGCAAATGATTGCTTATTCTGCAATTCCTGACTTGGATTACCCTATAACCCAAATGTCCGATGAACAGGATGGAAAAAGTGTAGAGACAACAACTGTCCGTAAATATAAATAAAAAAAAGGTTGAATGACAGTCAAGCTCAGGATGATGCACCCACGTAAAAAGGTAAAAAGACACAAATATCGCGAGTAACGGACCTGAATAAATTGCGATTTAAATCTATAGTATTGATGATGTCCTTTGATGTTTACGAATGGGGATTTCTTTTTCTTTTTATACATTATTTGCAAAGAGTAGATGCAATTCTACAAGGAACCGCAAAATTTCAGACTACTGGATCAGAAAACAATTGGTTGTGTTCTGATAACAAAAGTTTAGACCATCAACAAAGCAATAAAAAAATGCAAATCACCACAATAATTGTCTTCAAAATATAATAAATAATACAAAGAAAGAAATTTTTTTCTTCCCTTTTTTTTATGCAAGGATAAGCGGCCTTCATAGACAGAAGCGTTTACTTAACGCTAGCTCTCCCCTTCGGCTCAAGCGACAGACTAAAACAATTTTTTTTAAAAAAGAAAATAAATAAAAATAAGAAAAGTAATAAGAGTGCTGAAAGGTGAAGCCCTATTAGCAAAACACCTACTATCTAGCCTATGCAGATAAATTAAGAGTTAATTGAGTCTTACTTATTTTTTTTTTTTTCTTGTTTCTAATAATAACTGAAACATCGGGTACAGCAAACCAAGCTTATTTTATTCACGATTTTGCATTGTGCTGATTTTGTCAGCTTCCAAATTCTAAATTAATTTGTCAATCAAATGATGCAGACAATCATTGGTACAGATGGAGAAGTCCCTGACATTATCTATAAAGACCGGAAATAAACTTTTGGTTATAGTAAAAAAAATATATATCTAGCATTATTCTTTTCATATTTAACCGAGAATTTTTTTAATATCCCATATCTCTATACGTCCGCCTTTAATGAAACAAAATAATATCCAACTAGTCTGTCTGCATACAATGGAAGCTCTATGGTAACTTAAATTTCCCAACTATGGCAAACTCTGTAAGACAGATTCATTAGGCAAGTATTTCTTTTCTAAATGGCGGTAGCATAATACTCTTTAGATAAGTAGTATGGATGAGAATATGAGATAAACAAATTCAAGATATAGAAGTTATAGTTGGATTTATAAAAAAGGTACAGAAAAGTAAAGAGAGATGTGATTTCTTTGTCATGTTAAACAGAATATCAAATATCAGCATAAAAAGTCATTATGTCCTAAATAAAATAAATCAAAAAAAGGGTCCCCTACGGGTAATTCAAATGATCTAGACATTCCGTAGTCGCTTGTGATATCTTCTCTTTCTTCAACTTCTAATAGTTTTGCTTCATTTATTTTCCTATTTTTTAATGCGTCACACAAAATTACTACGACATGTAAAGCATCTCTCGAAGCAGGAGTGTCGAAAGTTTTTACGACACTTTTCAGTACTTTGTGTGCTTTTGGAATTAATTGCAAACTTTCTTTGGTATCCATTGACAAAAGGACACAAATACCATGGAAAGGAATATCTAAGATATTCCACCAACCTAGGCCTTTATCGCATAAAATCAGACATTTATCAAGTGCGCTGTCAGTCATTTCTAAGATAATACCGATTATCATCTCATTCACATGAAAGTTCGACAGAATTAGTCTCCGATACATATGGAAACAAATAGCTGTTTTCAAAAGAGTCAGTATAATAGGTTGTGGCTTCAGAAGCTGAGACAATCTGTTTATCGTTGCAAAATATGATATTTGGGGTTCTTTTATTAAATCGTCTCCTTCCGGTAAAAGTTTTGCCAATTCTATGAGCTGATGTGGTTGAGAGTGTAAATTTGTTGGAAAACTTACAGACCCAGTGTTTAGTTGTGATAGCTTCAAAGGATATGTTCCAAATTCCGTACATAAAATTTTGTTGAAAGCCCATGCAATTGAAAAGAACTTATTTAAAGAGGGAAGAAAATCGTATTCTTGGAGTTTATCTCTAGTAAAATCTTCCTGTCGTTCGTTGGATTCGTAATAAAGGCAAAACATTTCTATGGAGTGCATCGAGGTACAAGACGCTAACCAAGCATTATGTGGATCAGCGGTAATTCGTAAATACAAGCTTTTTAAGATCCAATAAGTAATTTTTATGATAGATGGATCATTATTTATCGAAGATGCGTCCGGATTCACCAAGTTTTCGGCATGCTGAATCAACTCGAGTTCTGTTGGTAAGGGATTTTTATAGGAAAAGTAAGAGCCGATTACTACGACAATGCTTATTAAGGCCTCAAATTCCTCTGCTGCTTCGTTATCCCAAACCATTTTCACTTTCTCTTCAAAAGCAATCTGATCCAATAATTCAAGAACGGGATTAACATCTTCAAAGTAGACGGAAACATAAAAGCGGCACTGATCTCTAGACAGTAAATCTTTCATCTTTGTACCATTTCTTCGCCGCGGACAAAAACGGGTACCTAGATTCCAAACCAATGGTTTATATTTCCATGACGAAGATATCCCGAGTTTCTCACCGACAATATCAGCAAAGCAGATAGCTTTTTTGCTATTTTCTTTTCCTTTTTTGTTTTCCATTATTTGGTCAACATGCTTGCTAGTCTCGTAGTTGTAAGGAACGCAAACGTTATTTGATGAAACTAGTTTAGAAGTATTTTCATAGCTGTTTGGTTCAAAACTTTGATTATTACTGCTTTCTGTCTCTAGATAATTAACATTGTTATGTGGTTCTTTGCTTTTCATGGCATCATGGGCATATTTACATTCATGGCGAAATTTTTGACAGTATGAACAAGGATAAGTACCGCTACACTTTCGTTTTTTTCTATGACAAACAAGACAAGCCTTTCTCGCTCTCGTGGGTCTCTGTAACGAAGTTTTCATGGATACCTATTTACTTTTCGAATAAGGTCGTCAATAATGGATAAAGAAAATGGATGTGTACAGTAGTGTGAGTAACTGTTTCATAATAAGTGTTTCGTCAACATTAATAAAATATTACGATATCTTGTATGATAGTGTTATATTCAAGGATTGGCAAGGTCTAAACAAAAGGTTTTGTGGGAATAGTTTAACGAGTGAATATAGCAAATACAGAAAAAAAAAAGAACAGAGTATAATAGATGCTAGTTAGGTTTAAGAAATGAAATGAGAATTCTGAAACACCATCTTTATTTAGACCAGTCCAAATCTTCCAAAATCTGAATATTTTTACTGTAGAAGCATAGTTGTTCACAATTGTTCGGGAAAGAGTCATTAAATGTTATACGTAAACGCATTGCTCATTTGTGAGTGGATTCCGCAAAATTTTCCACCCATTGCGGATATCTTGGGAAAGCCGCACTATTCGGTTGCGGCTAGCGGAGCGGACTATGAGTCAGGAAGAAAACCGTCGTCATCAATGTATACGAGCGAACATTGAATTATTTACTGGCCATAAACAAATAAGAGTTGCACAGCATATATTTATATTTTAATATGATGGTTGAGCGTGTTCCTAATATGCGCAGTCGTCCCCGCTACTGAGCTTATCTATTATTGTTATTACCACTTGTTTGCTTTTTGACGTGGAAAGTGTGCTTAATGGTCCTTTTTGGTCTTTGGAGTACTCAAGACTAATGGCATACGCCTGGTCAACCGAATCCCGTATTTCTCACTGATATGGGTGCGCATACCAAAGGAGTTTTTATTTCCATGAGTGTTATTAGGGGCGTTTCATATACATTATCTCTTCTTGTCATCCGTCTTTGTAGACAATGGCGATTATTATATCCTACCACTTCTAAGATAGAAGCCATATTTGGTTGATTTGCTGTGTTAACTAGTGCTGATTGTACCTGCTGTTTAATATCTTTATCAATTCGTGATGATGTGCACCATTATCGGCTTAACTGGCAATTCACTGCATTTTATTATGTTTTGGCTTTCGCTGCTGCTGACAGTAACATGGTTGAATGGCTGTTCGCTTATTTTCATCGCCAAAAAAGTAGGCTATTAGGTTTTTCGTTAATTCTAAAGGATTTTAGTCAGTTTCTCGGTTACCGCTTCCGTCATTGCATACGCAGGTATGTAACATTACCACAATCGTTCTCGCTCAGCTAGGTTCGAATGGGTCACTGAATTTCTATGGGCTATCTATATCTATTTCCAGCCATATATTATGAACGTTATCCTAAAAAATTGGATGACTTGGAGGAGGGTGTTCGTGGTACTCAAGAACCAGACACTACTTAAGCACCTTCTGCCGAACTTCCCGTTGCTGTGTTACGTGAAAGGGTATTAAGTTGATGATCTCTTTTATTCTCAATTCATTTTAATTTTCCTTTAGTGTTGTCGACTAATTAACTAAGTAATAATGTTACCTAATGCAGAAAGGAAATTATACTACTTCCATAATTTTGACTGGTGATGGAAGTAAATTACCTGTTACTTTTAAGTCACGCTTGGTTATAGTATTCAAAATCCCATCAGAAAAGACGTCTAAAATCGTTTAAATATTATAAAATGCCAGAAATTAAAATGACCATTGACACAATAAATAGCTTCTTGGCTAAAGGTAGCGCTAAAGGCGCTGAAGGCCTTGTGAAGGTAATGAGATTTAATTGGTGGATACACAATGAACGTCTCCCGCGGACATGGATGTATCATTTTTATTTCTCTTTTTTATTTTTTAAAAAAAAAATGTCGTCAATAGGAATATACGCTTGCGAGTGGCGCTGACGATCTGGTGTGTAACTTTGGGATTTATATGCCAGTTGGCCATTCGTTTGCTTTTGAAAGTGATAACTGTGTAGTCTGAGGTTTTGCCTTTGATGAATCCGTATAATCTTATTGAGTGGTTTTCGAGATAAAACAGGTAACTTTTGGATTTAAGAAAGCTCGAACAACTATTAGCGCTATCCCTTAGTTGTATGGTATTGAATCGCTTTAATGTGCTAAATTATCGAGGAAACAGTGAGAAATTACTCTATAATGCAGGTGAGGGAAACATAATTTTAGCGTGTAAATGGAAAACCGGAACTCGTTTTATTTTAGATGTTCAGATCAGATTTTCCCAAAGTAGGGTGATCATTCACATCTAACTGTTTCTTTTTTATGAAGTTTTATATTTATTGACAGAAAAATTTTTGCGAAAAATACTTGTTTCATGATGCAATGATCTTCAAAAAAAAAAAATTAATATTGCGTCCTCTTGCTACGGGAAACCATCCAAAGTCTAAATATCCTACTGTAAAACCATGGTTTTTATATCTTGTTCAAAAAAAAAAATAGTCGTTAAAAATAGTCGTTAAAGGTGTCTTTACTTGGTAATATTTTCTGTTTTGATAATAGCTTTGTTTTCTATGTTCACTAGTGTCCAAAAGCATATCCAAACAAAAGTTCAGCTGCAATGATTAAATAAGGTACCTGAACAGATCTTGACACATAGTCCCTTACAAGATATAAAAGAAAAACTAGAGTATAAAATTTTTATACTTAATACGTGTTTGTAGATTTTGGCCGGCAACAAACTTATCAAGGTTTTCACTTTGACAAGTAAGATCAGATTTTTCATTCTTTTATCTTACAAACATTTCTATTTCAAAATTCAAAATTTATTTTGCAGCATTAGAAAACTTCATATATATATTGTTTCTTAAGTTTGGATTTTCTTTCGACAGTCAATACAAGTAGCATCTGCTCGTGCATTCAGAAAACGGGGAAATTACGGTCAATTTATAAAAAAACCGATTCTCCTCCGCAACTTGAATTCCTTTTTTTAGTTTTTGAATAAAAATCGGTTTACTTTTATACCTTTTTAACTCCAGAAACAAATATATGTTCCCAATTTAATGCTGCCCTTCAACATTTCCGGAAATCAAGGTTGTAGGCTTTCCTGGGGTTACCCAACAAACTCTGTCATTGATTCCTTCTTCCTTGAAATCTTTAGTTAACTCTTCTCCAAATTGAGTAAAATGTTTCCAGCCTTCAAAATGAATAGGCACCATTTTTTCTATACCAAGATCCTTTACCAGTTTACTAGCTTGCTTGCCATCCAAAGTAATCTGTAGCGGGCCATCTTGTGAAAACATAATGGCCTTTCCAAGGTTGAGAATAGCAAGACACACGTGATACTTTCTACGAATTTCCTTTATTTCCTCAATGTAAACCGTATCACCAGAGAAGTAAATCACATTTGGAAGTCCTTCAGGGCTCGTACCAAATTAATCTAGATGAAGAATGAATCCAGTGCATTCTTCTCCTGGAACGTGCCTCGTAGGTACGCCGGTGACTTGAAATGTCTTACCGCCGACTTCAAGTGGGATTGTCTCCCATGGACGAATACCACGAACACCTGGTCGGGGATGGAGATTTTTTGCACCATCCATGGTAGTAATGACTTTACGACCATCCAAAAGGCGACGGCCAAGATCATCCAAATTATCCGCATGATTTTCGTGACTTAAGAGTACTGCATCAATGGGTGGTAAACTTTCCAATCCCAAAGCAGGATGAACGCTATTTTGCAAAAGAACCGGTCCATCTTTTAGTAGTTTCGATTCATAACGCATTTCAGTTCCAGCCGGCGAGAAAACCGGATCAGTCAAAAAGTTGACATTATCAATACTGAGTATAGCAGTCGCAGTCGTAAGGTGAGTAATACTCACTTTGCTTTGGAAGCTGTTGGAAGGCATTCTTTAAAAACAGAATAGTCAGTAGTCGAATTTAGAAAGTTATGGATTTTCTTTTCTTCGTTTGTACTTTACAAGGATTTTCGCTTGAATTTATAGTATCCTAATAGCGGTATATGAATCAGCAAGCCGCAACCGATCCCACTTATTCCGCATTCCGTATAAGCTTACCGAAGTCGGACTAAATTTCAAAAAAAAACCTTTTAAGCTTACAGGCTATAATGAACCAAATAAATGATTCAGATAAATAGTAAAGATAGGTATGGAGAGGAAAAAGAAGAAAAGAAACAAAGCATCGAATATCAATTTACATACCAAAATTGCTAGGAAACGCAATTATTTGCATTAGTGTTATATAAGATATGGACTAATATTTTTACAAAAGTAACTGTGTGTCACGGGAGAAATCTCACACGTTATGAGAATGTAAATCGAGTGGAAGTAATAAGTACAATTGCAAAATTGTCTATTAGAATTGGACGTGTTAGTACTACGTAGAAGAATACTAATAACGCCCAGGGATCTGATTAACTAAATGAAATGACTAACAGTCAATCTTATTTGGCCTGATCAGTCAAATCTTCCGATCTGAAGATTCTGGAAGACAATGTGTTTCGAAAAGGATTATTATAACATACTTAATTCTCAACTAAAATTTGCTCTTTATCCTCTCTTCCAAAAGCATAACATTAAGGTTTCATTTAAAAATCATTCGCCAACCAGTTGACTTTACTACGAAAGCAGAATATAATGGTTACCACAGTTTGCGCGGTAGCTTAGCATAACTTTCTATCTATCTATGTAAAGCATTAAGAATCGAAAGGCAACATTTATTACCATACTACTCAAACCGATATTTATTAGCCTTTCAACATTCGTCATAAATCGAATTTCAGATCAAAGAAACAGGACGTCTCTTTTCTTCTGCTTTGGGGTCAAACTGCAATTCCTTGCCATAATTTGGGAAAGTGTTATAACCATTGTTGTTAGTAGCATAGAACAAAGAACGAACGTAAGGAGTAAGCTCAAGACCTTTCCTCAATCTCTCAATCAAATCTGGATTTGATGTAAAATATCTCGAAAATCCAATCATAGTACGGTCGTCAATATTAACATCAGCCTTCAATAACTTAAACTCAGGACTGTCATAAGTATAATTACCACTATGCAAAATGGCTCCTTTCCACAATTTCTTGATAAAGTCGTTGGAACCAACAATGTCAGATGCGTTGACATCAAAAATCCCTTGGACCCTAGGTTCCACAAGGGAAAGATAAACAAGCTGCTTACCATTGTTTGCACGCTTCTGAAGCTCATTTACAATATAACTAAATGTCGTAATAGGATGCACAGTATCTTGTTCAGCTTTCATTCCTTGGAATTTGGCCCAAGGAGACAATCTGATTGCAAGCTTTTCAGCGCCGATTGTGTCACTTAAGAGGTCAATAATTTCAAGCACAATTCTTGCACGCTTTTCAATAGAACCACCATAGTTATCTGTTCTTTGATTCGTAGCGGGCTGTAGGAATTGATCAAGCATGTATCCATGTGCACTATGAATTTCCACATAATCAAATCCAGCTTCCATAGCATTGATTGCTGCATTCTTGTAATCTTTATAAATAATGCCCTTGATTTCTTCTTCAGTCAATGCTCTCACAGGATTGCCTGCAGCTTCTGCAGCCTTCTTGGACTCCTCGCATTTGTATATAGCAGAGGGAGAAATCAAATCCAACCCATGCTTTTTCAAAAGCTCCGGGGATCCAACTCTTCCTAAAAACATAACTTGACACGCCATATAACTACCTTTAGCATGTACTGCATCAGTAATCTTTTTCCATCCTTGAACATGTTTGTCATTCCAAATGCCAGGAATGTTAGGGTATAAGCCAGCGCGAGGAGAAATGAAGGTGGCTTCCGTAATGAGCAACGAACCAGGAGCTTGTGCTCTATCCGAATAGTATTGTAGCATCAAGTCGCTTGGAGTATGATCATCTACAGCACGGAATCTTGTTGTAGGAGCAAAAACTACCCTTTGATCTAGTGTATTTTTACCAACAGTAATCGGTTTAAATAAATTTGATTGTTCTAAGCCAGCTGTCATTTTGCAAATAAGAAAATGAGTGCTTATTCTCTGTTTATCTTTCCGACAATGTTGCTTGTATTTATGTATTTATATATTTATATAGTTACGTAGCCAAGAGCGGGGAAATAAGCATCTCTTGATTGCTAGCTTAATAATATTATTTGTCAGCGGAAACGATTACTATTAGTCATAATGAAAATAATCCGTAAGGTTAAAAAAAGATTGCGTTAAAAGCGAAGATAGCTTTCATTTGGAACGAGTAATTGATAAAGTGCTTCAGCTGTTTTAATTATACAAAAACACAGTGACATCCACACACGCATAATAGGACACAGAGGTAAACAAAAAAAGGTCCTTGGTCCCTTCTGTCAACGATAGTTAACAGAGCTAGTTATTATATAGAGTTATATAGATAGCATCTCTTATTTATCCCCTTTGTCTTGCGCAAAAATTGATACAGCTATCAAGGAGCGTCTTGATGATCTCGTTAAGGGATACCACGATGTCACGAAAGTTATCATCAAGGGACCTGTTGCAAAGTAGATTGATCTTTCCTGAATAAGCGACCACTTTAGATTTAAATTAGCCTCTAAGGGGGTTAAGGAATGGTTTGCTTTTTTTCATGGACAAATGAAATGATTAAAATTCGTTTTATAGTCTGTTTGATTGAATTGAATATAATCGCAAAAGGATTCATCGCTTTCATTGCAGTTCCAGATAAACTTGTGTACCGACGAGACGCTCCATTTCGCTTCATTTTTTTCAATCCATATTGTACAAAAACCTTTGAGAACATACATTTGAAATCAATACCTGTTTTCTTCAATACATCACTTAAAAAGATCTTTAAAAGCTCCCAATATGCTCGATCGTATTCGAAAAAAAAAAAAGAAAAAAAGAAAAAGAAAAAAAAAAAAAAACTCTACGAAAATGATTGGAGAAGTAAAATATTGAGGAATCCGTCACCCAGAATTGTCAAACAAAAACCACAAGCACGAAACTCTTAATCATTTCCATATAACTTAAAGATAATTGAGGATGATCAGTATAGTTAGTTCAGATTTATTAAGGCTTGTAAAGTTTTATAGCCAGGTTCTGATTTCAGGAAAGGCTTCATAAAATTTTATTTAGAACTGGACCAGTCAAGCGCTATTTACATCGTAATTATTATTCACTGATATAGAAAAATTGAATTTTCATCCCTTGATATGAATTCCAAAAGTAATGAAAGAGCCTTTATCCTAGCAATAATTCCTGTAAAAATGTTTAATTCAGTTGACGACTACTTAGTGGGGTTATCAAAATAGATGACACAGAATGACAGAAGACACTCTTTGAGTTACAAACTGTCCATACCTTGACGAGTAGGGAGTAGGGGTGGTGCACAAGTTGCCTCAATTGGAATATTTCATTTTGTCATTTGTGTCCCATTATCCCTGTCTGTTGTTTCGGGTTAAACTCTTTTAAAATAAGAGAACCCAAGCAAGGACTTGGGTAGTTTACAGAGATGGAAATAGTAATAAACTAATCATTATGAATATTCGCTTCAAATTCGTAAATTAAATTAATTAGAAAAAGAACCAGTTAGACATAGACATAGACATAGACATAGACATAGAGATAGAGATAGATAGAGATAGACAAGGTAAAGACAGTCAGTTGGCGAAAGTCTTGACAGAGAACACATGAACAAAACACACATGAGGATTCTGGCAAAGCTTTGAACAGGCAGAAATGAACGATGGGTAGCAAACTGTAGCGCAATTTGCACAGAGATCACAAATAAGTTTAACTACGAGATTTGGTTGAACTAGCGTTTATTTAACCATATTACCTCCCGAGACACTTTGCTTCCGGTGTCAGCATTAGGCCAGCCGTCTTGAGAGTTACATTGTGTCCAAAATGATCCAACTCTATAGTCGACATCTGTTGGTTCATTAGTTCCTGCCTTGGCTGTTTTACCTGCAGTGAACCTTGAGCCATTAGATGATCTATATCGACACGCATGGTGAGGCCCAAACATCAAGTCTATCTCATAGCCTTGTTGGTTAGATACTAAAAGACTGCTAGCTATTCTATTTGGTATGCTATAACACATACCACATTGTAATGTAGTCTTTGCATCTACGTTACTTCCGAGAAAGTCTTGGTCGCCTCCTTTTCCATACCAAGATATGGTGAGATGTTCTCTATTCTGCCTGGGTTTACCCATAGAATCAGGCTTACTCCCCTGATTACTGACAGCTAAAGTACTGTAGTCAGTGTTAGAATTGCCATCATTTTGCGCGTGTTCAACATCAGAGTCCACATCACCGTACTCTTCACTTGAATAATCTGGATCATAGTCAATCGGATATCCATGGCCGAAATAGTCATAGAAGTCGCTGACATCTGTATCAGAATAACGCGACCCTGCTACAGCGAACTGATTATGTAAATGGACATCTATAGTAACATTAGGGTGTTTATCATAAATACACCGAAGTATTGCATCTGTAACATTACCGGTGACAACGTAGTCGATATTGTTTCCGGAATCGATCCATAATGCAAATCTGTCGTGTGTACTTGATACACGGTCAACAATAGTTTTTCCATTGAAGTGTCGTGAAATGCAATCATGTATCGTATTCCATACAGTGCTGTTATCAAAACCTCGTCTCAGGTATGTCTCTACAGAATACGCTGAATCAAAAGATAAGATGAGTAATGAAAGGATAGTGAGTATGTGGTTCATTGTTATCACTAAAAAAACAAAAGAAAAGTAGTTGTTTGCACGGTGAAGGAAGTGAGCCCGAGCCCAGGAGCCTGAGCCTGAGCGTGCATACTAACGTAAATCGCTAAAATCCTAAAAAATTCTAATTTACAGATCAAGCAAGTATCCAGAGACTAACAAAGGAAACAAAGAGGACCAAAAAAAGAAGAAACTTTTGATCCTGCTGATGCGACAGAATCAATAATCGACGATTGGCTACTAGCGCTAACGGCTTGTGAACTAAACTTTGAAGTATTACTAGCATTACCATGTGAGTTTGAGTTGCTAGATAAAATGGAAACTACAAAAGTACTGAAAATCCTACTAGAAGCAATAGGAGTCGACGCCGTCACGAAACCATCAGCGGAAGAGTTCCCGTACTTAGTGTCGGAAGAATTAGCTGAAAGTTCTGGCCAAGGAAGAAAAGAACTAGCACTCGAAAATGTAACAGTTGGGGAACTAACGAAGCTATCTGCAATCCCTTCTTTTGGAGTAATCAACAGAGTAGAAATTGAATCACCATGACTGACAGTTGTACTTACTGGCTTCAAAGAACTAGCAATACGGCGGAAACTTGAGTTTTTAGTTGAAGCTGAAGAAGCAGTAATACTGGTGGATACCGAGCTGTTATTGGGAACCGGGGAAGCAACAGTATCGCTGAATCCTGAGCTGGTAGTAGGTATTGAGGAAGTACTATTACCGTTGAAGCCTAAGCTGCTAATTGTAGCTGAGGAAGCAATGACACTAGTGGATCCAGAGTTGTTGCTACTTGGTATCTGAGAAACAAAACTGCCACCGTATTCCGAAAAGCTAGTAGGAGGAACCCGGGAGGTAACTCTATCACTGAATCCTGAAATGCTGGTAGGAAACGAGGAAACAGCAAAACTTGTGGATACCGAACTGTTGCCAATTGGAGTGGGACTTTACTAGTATAAAAGATAAGACTTGATGTGCCACAGTTGAATCTCACATGTTATGAGAATAAATATTCAGTGGAAATAAATATACAGTTAAACGGGAATTGTACTAAAATTGGATGCTTTAATACTATCAAAAAAAAGGATAGTAATAGCTTCCAGGGATCTGATTCACTAAGTAAGCTGTATGAACAATTTATTTAGCTAGATCAGTCAAATATTCCAATCTGAAGATTTGAGCTTTCAACTAGAGGTATATATATCTTTTAATATCAATTTAAATCCTTTCTTTCTGTTTTAGATATATTTCGATACGTAGTTTCGTCTTTTTACCTTCTATAATAACGTATTTGCTAATACAATAGAATTATTGTCTCAAAAGGTTAGTAATATAGTATACCGGTTATGACAGAATGCTTTCCATCATACTTTTGTCACGGGAGAAATCTCACACGTTATGAGAATGTAAATCGAGTGGAAGTAATATATATATGTGTGTTGACAGTCAAATTCTTTAGATCGGAAGATTTGACTGATCAGGCTAAATAAGATTGACACTTAGTCATTTCATTTAGTTAATCAGATCCCTGGACATATTACTATTCTTCTACGTAGTACTAACACGTCCAATTCTAATAGACAATTTTGTAGTTGTAATCGTGACTGGCTTCTCTAATTAATAGCAATGATCACGAATGGTAAATTTTAATCGGAGCTTTTGCATTCAAAGAGAAATTTGCATCTTCAATTTTTTGTTTACTTATTATCAAGCACAATTCTTTAAGCTTATGACTATTAACTGATATTGGCTAATATTTCATTCTTATAACTGTCACGGGAGAAATCTCACACGTTATGAGAATGTAAATCGAGTGGAAGTAATAAGTACAATTACAAAGTTGTCTATTGGAATTGGACGTGTTAGTACTACGTAGAGTAATAGTAATATGTCCAGGGATCTGATTAACTAAATGAAACGACTAAGTGTCAATCTTATTTAGCCTGATCAGTCAAATCTTCCGATCTGAAGATTTCGACTGTCAACACTCATATATATATTGTTCTGTATATTTGCCATCGTGACTGGCTTCTCTAATTAATAACAATGATCACGAATTGTAAATTTTAATCGGAGTTTCTGCATTCAAAGAGAAATTTGCAATTTCAATTTTTTGTTTACTTATTATCAAGCACAATTCTTTAAGCTTATGAATATTAACTGATATTAGCTAATATTCCATTCTTATAACGGATTGTTATATTATGAATGCTAACGAGGGATCCAATTATGACACATTGTCACGATAGGTGTCTTGTTAATATTATATATATTACAATACTCTATCATAAGAGCATATTGCTGAATATTAGCAAATGCAATAAGAATAAAGGAAGAGATATTACTAATGGTAAACAAAACAAAGAAAATACGATTTTAACAACCATTTGGACAGTTTTTCGGAACGGAGGTCTTTCAATTAAAGAGACCTTTGGTTTACAAGGAGATAAATTATGTTAGTTGTCCCAGCGAAGATACATAAACTATGAATCCACAGTCGAATTCTTCAGATTGGAAGATTCGACTGATTTGGCTAAATAAGATCGTCTTCCTACTTTCAATTTAGTTAATCAGATCCCTGGACATATTACTATTACTCTACGTAGTACAAAAGCGTTCAATTCCAAAAGACAATTTTGTAATTGTACTTATTACTTCCACTCGATTTACATTCTCATAACGTGTGAGATTTCTCCCGTGACACCCGTGACAAGTGTCATAATTGGATCCTGTCATAATTGGATCCCTCGTTAGCATTCATAATATAGCAATCCGTTATAAGAATGGAATATTAGATAATATCAGTTAATATTCATAAGCTTAAAGAATTGTGCTTGATAATAAGTAAACAAAAAATTGAAATTGCAAATTTCTCTTTGAATGCAGAAACTCCGATAAAAATTTACAATTCGTGATCATTGCTATTAATTAGAGAAGCCAGTCACAATGGCAAATATACAGAACAATATATATATGTGTGTTGACAGTCGAAATCTTCAGATCGGAAGATTTGACTGATCAGGCTAAATAAGATTGACACTTAGTCGTTTCATTTAGTTAATCAGATCCCTGGACATATTACTATTACTCTACGTAGTACTAACACGTCCAATCCCAATAGACAACTTTGTAATTGTACTTATTACTTCTACTCGATTTACATTCTCATAACGTGTGAGATTTCTCCCGTGACACAAACAAACAAAACTGAGAAAGCAGATGTAAAGTATAACCAATAATCAATGATTATTTAAAACTTATTGTTTGTTTACTTCCTAGTTTTAGATTACTATATAAACGCCATTCTCCTCAGCCAAATTCTTCAGTTAGGATTATTTTGCTGGCAGAGCTAATAAACTTGTTCGATAACATATTCATTAGTATCACCAGAGACGTTACTAAAGATATATCACTCCAGATATTTAGTAACTTATTTTAGAGTATTCAACTTGACAATTCAATCAGCTACAACTGTATTCCACTCACACTCTTATAACTATACGGAGTATTTTCCCGTGACATCATTGTCACAGACGAAATTTCATTTGTTATTAGAATAAGTGTTCAGTGAAAAATTTGCAATTTTAGGAGGAATTTACATTGGATACTTCATGTACTATTAGAATGAATAGTATAGCTTCCAGGGATCTGGTATACTATACTAAGCAAGTTGTATAAACAGTTTATTTAGTCTCTGTTGATACTCATTTTCGTCCTTGCCATTTACGAGACATGCAATTACGCCTCTCAGTGTTGAGCTAAACAATAGTGGAATTTTCTTAGAGTATGTTTATAATCAATAGGATGTTCTATACACGAAGAAAATGAACGATGCATAAACAACGATATTGCGAGACGAATTTAAAGTCCATGAAAGAGTGAATTAGTAAAACAATCAAAGTCTGCCGAATTTATCTTATTTTTTCTTTTGTGGAAGCGAATGCAATAACTTGGTGGACTGCAACTGACATGAATACTTCCAAAGAAGGAAAAAAGGAGCGAATATGAAGAACGAAAGCAGGTTCGGTAAAACTCAAATTTCAGCCCTTTGCTCAGTAAGAGGCTAAAGTTCGATTTGCTCCTTTTGAATTGGTTAATAACGCCCTAATGATGGGAAGCATTTACGAAGTGTACATACCTAAAAGACGATCCACAGCATTTCCTAAGCCGTGTCCAAAGTCGTTTTTCAAGTCAATAATAATTGATCCTAGTAGTTCACGCGCATTTGGATTCACTAGAACAGTTAGAAAATTTCGCCGGTGTATGACATACTCGTCAAATAAAGAAACAAGGCAAAGTTAACAAAACAAACGGCATAGAATAAAGGATTGTTTATCTTTTCAAATCCTATTAGTTTCTTTATATTATAATACATGGCGAAACCGGGGACATCGAGAGAACACACATATAATGCTGCGACACACATAGCTGAAAATACTTTTTTGGTTGATCTTCCAGCTTGCGTAAACCATTCTTTAGGCATTTGAGTTATAACTAATAGTTAAAAAGTCATTTGAACTGCTGAATTAATTTTCTTACCGATTGCCAATGACAGAAATAGCACACACCAAACGAACAAAAGTACCCAAGTGGCAATCTGATTTATATGGATTTCGTAAACAAGCAGAACAGCCCTCGCAATAAATAAGCATACATTATATACAATGAAAACAGTAAAAACGACTGCCAATTCACGAGGCGTCAGATATCTTTTCTTTTTAGAAATTTCTTCCGTTTCAAGAGCTATTTCTAAATCGATATATTTCTTGGAAGCTAAGAGATGTATTAGCGACTGATGTTTTCTTTGTTTGCGAGAGAAAAGAGGTGTTTATCATGTTTGTTGAAAGTTATCGACAAGGTTATTAGTTTCGAACCCAACAAATAAACAAACAAGCATGATTTCTCCATCAGAACTCCTTTGGATTTGAATCGTTCAAACAAGCACACAAACAATTGACATCCCTTTCTATCTATTTCAACAAATCTTACCTGAATACGGAGGAGGCGTACCATCTGAAAGAGGTCGACTCTCTGCCTTTTCATCATTGAGCGTTTTGGAAGAGTCATCAGAGTCTGAAACAGGAGTATACTTATTCTTCATTTTAGAATGACAAATCAAACCCGAAAATAACACGGATATTTAAAGCTAAACGAAAAGCAGAGTCACCAAGAAAAGTCCGAAGAACTGGTTCCACTCTTCAAGGATCCGTCCAAAAAAAAAGGAATTGGACCTTACTTTAAAAAAGTAAAAGAATGTACAAAAATAAACTCCCTGTTAAAACCAAAGATGCGAATTTGAAAAAATCTTGGTAGTGGACTTTCGCATGTCTCATTCATAAAAGCTGCGACATTATGTCACTGACTGGTCACAGTCCTCGTTACGAATTTTCTTTTATTATAATCCAAAAGAGTCGTTATTTATTACAAAAAGTAAACAAAGGAACATTTGGCAAAACAACCATGCTTTTTGCTTTGAATGATATTGATAAGGGATTGGAAATGCATATCTTCATATTGGAAGTTTCAGTAATTTTGGCTTAATAAGTTTTACACTTTTCATTTGGTTAATCAGATCCTAAACTTGGTTGCTAGTATAAAAATAGAATCCTAAATGATTGAAAAGACGAAATATGTTTTTGTGATGATACTTTACTTTTACACTCAGTATTTAACAAAAAAACGAAAGGGAAAAATTCGTCGCTTGTTTTATGAAGTTTCCAAGACTTGTCTAGCTGTAATTTTGGAAAATCATCATGAACGACATTTTTAGTGACTAGAACATCTTTCTTTTCTTTTTATTTTATTTCTTTTTAAGTTAAACAAATTAAATTAAATTAAATTTATCTGATTATACGATAGAAACGAACAAAAGCGATTTCGGACAGGTCAACGCTTCCTAACTATCGGTAATTTGGTTTAACGAAATGCATCAGAGATGCCAAATGGGGTGGATGACAGCTTCACCTCTGCAAAACTTTATCCATTGCCATTGCGGGCTCGATTCATGTAGTTGGAAATTTTTATAAAGTAGATTTATAATAAGCTTGTTAGTCGGATCAGATGTGTGCTACTGTTCTGGAAGTCCTAACATGAAATTGAATATTCATTACTGGTTTGAGTAGGTTTTGAAGGAATTGCAGAAAATGACTGAAAAAAACAAGTACAAGCAGCTAGAAGGTGCTCATTTCTCTCTTGCAACTTCTGACGGTGAACTGCTACGGTACGATGAAATTTTTAATTCTCATCTAAACGACTTGGAAAAAGGTCATGCAGCTCTCAGGAAGCAAACCTCAAAAAGCGTCCATCAACATGATTATACTACAGAGGACGAAAACAAGAGATTTTACATTAATATGCTTGACATTATCGACACATGCAGTCTTTGCCCGTGAGATTTACCGAACCGTCGAAGTTTCAGATTACAGTAAAGTTACGAATACAAAGCTATGGTTCGATTTATTTGACCTTGTACCAATGAGTATTTCCGCATTAATATTATTAATTCTAGCTCTTTACCCGAGCATGTACAAACCGGAATATTCTGGGATCTTATGAGACTCCAATCTCAAAACAATAAGCAATTGTCAATTGATGAAACGGAAGTTGCTTTTAATAATTCATTCTACTCTGTTACACTAAATGCTGACACGATTATTCCTTATTCAAGTTGGAGTTTGAATTTGTCATCATCTGTCTTTCAGATAGCAAATACAAAAACCAATTTGAGTTGACAGTATTTACTCATTACTCATTAAATGTATTGGTGACTTCACTTTCTTTTTGAAAAAGCTGTATGTTATAGCTATAAGTTGAGAAAAGGTTGAGACTAAGTACAGTGAGACACGTTGCGTCACCTACGGAGTAAAGCTTACGTATAAAGTTGCTATATGCGAAAACGTTCTGTTCAATCATCACATATTATCACTACCGTGTGATTTGCGGCTGGATCAGACCTGCTCTCTAACGACAGCGGAAGTATCGCTGTTAGTTCTATTCAGAAGGACAGGGTGGTGTCTTGGCATTTTTTGACTATAAATGCAATTCTGATTCTTCTGGTCAGTGATTTTCTGAAATAGAGAGCTAGGTTTCGAAAAACGCTGTAAGTAATTTGTCAAACTAATTTGTTTTGTTACGCACTTTTTTGTTTGCCTGCTCTTTCTTAGATAGAACTTGTCGTACGTTGGCTGCTCGAAAAAGGTCATAAGAAATATTTGATTATGGAGGTAATTTCTAACGAGTCCGTCAGTCTACGCCACTGAACTGAAAGGATATGATATGTAATAGTCCTTTTTGATTTGTCCCACCCTTTCAATTGGCCCCGTCTATGACTACCTTTATTTTTCCATCTTTTAATAAGGTTTTATGTCGACCTACCACGAAAGTGACGGGGTTGCTGGCCTCAGTCTGTTCCCTCTATGAAATCGGCACTGTTTTTGACCTACTGACCGTTGGAGTTAAGATCGACAAAAGTACATGAAACATTCAACACCGACAAAGGAAGGCAAGTCCAAATTTCGGATGTCATTTTCGTTCTCAGAAATGTTCTCGTCCAAAAAGACTGCTATTTACGGTTGGACTTCCTATAATTGCACCACCGTTATCGGCTTATGCGTCATATCATTTCCTTCATTTCCTTGAATTGTTTGCGTTGTTTACAACTTGTTATACGAGACTCTTTTGTATTATTTTTATTAGACAACACGTTGGCCTTGACAATTGTAAGTTGTGACATCCCTAATGCAGGTCATTCCCAAATTCCCAGACTGCTCAACTTCATATTATGAGCGTGCATACTAACGTAAATCGCTAAAATCCTAAAAAATTCTAATTTACAGATCAAGCAAGTATCCAGAGACTAACAAAGGAAACAAAGAGGACCAAAAAAGAAGAAACTTTTGATCCTGCTGATGCGACAGAATCAATAATCGACGATTGGCTACTAGCGCTAACGGCTTGTGAAGTAAACTTTGAAGTATTACTAGCATTACCATGTGAGTTTGAGTTGCTAGATAAAATGGAAACTACAAAAGTACTGAAAATCCCACTAGAAGCAATAGGAGTCGACGCCGTCACGAAACCATCAGCGGAAGAGTTCCCGTACTTAGTGTCGGAAGAATTAGCTGAAAATTCTGGCCAAGGAAGAAAAGAACTAGCACTCGAAAATGTAACAGTTGGGGAACTAACGAAGCTATCTGCAATCCCTTCTTTTGGGGTAATCAACAGAGTAGAAATTGAATCACCATGACTGACAGTTGTACTTACTGGCTTCAAAGAACTAGCAATACGGTGGAAACTTGAGTTATTAGTTGAAGCTGAAGAAGCAGTAATACTGGTGGATACCGAGCTGTTATTGGGAACCGGGGAAGCAACAGTACCGCTGAATCCTGAGCTGGTAATAGGTATTGAGGAAGTACTATTACCGTTCGAGCCTAAGCTGCTAATTGTAGCTGAGAAAGCAGTGACAGTGGATCCAGAGTTGTTGCTACTTGGTATCTGAGAAACAAAACTGCCACCGTATTCCGAAAAGCTAGTAGGAACCGGGGAGGTAGCTCTATCACTGAATCCTGAAATGCTGGTGGGAATCGAGGAAACAACAAAACTGGTGGATACCGAACTGTTGCTAATTGGAGTTGAGGAAGCAGAATTACTAGTGGACACCGAGTTATTACTCATTGGAGCCTGAGAAACAAAACTGCTTTTGAATCCTGAGGTGCTAGTAGGGGTCGAGAAAACAACACTGCCATTGAATCCTGAAGTGCTGGTAGGAGTCGAGGAAACAATAATACTAGTGGATACCGAACTGTTGCTAATTGGAGTTGAGGAAGCAGACCTGCTAACTGAAAGTGAAGAGGCAATAGCACTAATGGGTACCGAAACGTTGCTGTTTGGAGCCCGAGAAACAAAAGTACCACTGTATTCGGAAGTGTTAATTGGAGCTGAAGTAGTATTACCGTTGGGACCTAAGTTACTAATTAGAGCCGAGGAAGCAGTAATACTTGTGGATACCGAGCTGTTAATGGGAGCCGGGGAAGCAACAGTACCGCTGAATCCTGAGCTGGTAATAGGTATTGAGGAAGTACTATTACCATTCGAGCCTAAGCTGCTAATTGTAGCTGAGGAAGCAGTGACACTAGTGGATCCAGAGTTGTTGTTACTTGGTATCTGAGAAACAAAACTGCCACCGTATTCCGAAAAGCTAGTAGGAACCGGGGAGGTAGCTCTACCACTGAATCCTGAAATGCTGGTAGGAATCGAGGAAACAACAAAACTGGTGGATACCGAACTGTTGCTAATTGGAGTTGAGGAAGCAGAATTACTAGTGGACACCGAGTTATTACTCATTGGAGCCTGAGAAACAAAACTGCTTCTGAATCCTGGGGTTCTACCGTTGTGTCCTATGCTACTAGTTGGAATAGACCTAGTAGCATTACCATTGAGAGCTAAGCTGCTAATTGAAGCTGAAGAAGCATTTTTTACAATTGCTGTTAAATTTGTCATCAAAGAAGAGGAAGTAACTCTGGCACCGGTTGCTGAGCTGTTAACACGAACCGGGGAAGCACTACCACTGGATCCGGATGTGCTAGTAGGAATCGGCAACGTAGCATTCGAGACTGGCATTGATTTTGTCATCGCAGTAGTGGGAGCAACGCTACCAACTGTTCCTGAGCTGTTCGTTGATACCGAGGACGTAAGACTACCACTGGAACCTGAGCTGCTAATAGGGGCCGAGGAGGTAGCGTTACCGTTGAATCTTGAGTTGGTAATTAGATCTAAAGAAGTAACATCCTTTATTGGCTTTGAACTTGCCAACACTGAAAATGAAGTAATGCTACCATAAGGACCTGAGTTGTTGATTGGAGTCCCCGAAGTAGCTTCTGTGTTGGATGCTGAGCTTTTGATAGGAACTGAAGAAGCAGCAATACCACTGGATCCTGAGTTGCTAATTCCTGCTGAACTAGCAATACCATTTGAACCTATACTGCTAATTTGAACCGAAGAAGGCGTGTTGCTTGCTTTTTTCTTACTGCTTTGGAATGAAGCGAAAGCTGGAATAGTAGGTGAAGGAGAACCACTCTGCACAGTTGATGAAGCAACGTTATTGGAGGGACTGGAAGTTTTTCTTGCCGTAATGTGCTCGCCAGTACTGTAAGTCGTGGCTTGAGTGGAGATTTTTGTTATCGCTGAACTGGAGGTAATATCGTTATCTGTCCAGCAATAAGTAGGTGAGTCTGAGTGAGCGTTTCCATAATTATCGACTGAGCATCCGGTTATATGGTCGTAAAACTTTTGAAATTTCCATAATAAGCATTCACCTAGGTCTAGTATGCCACCCGAACACCAGTCATACTGAATTTGAAAAGGGGGCATGCATACTTGATTGCCGTTACGATCACCGGTGACAACAACTGTAGTACTCCATTTTGAGGTATCAAAAATCCTGTCGACATTTAAAGTACTTGAGTATAGAACAATTGTTTCGCTGTTCAGGAATAGCTTCAATTCTGATAGGGATTTCTTTGACATAAATTCGTCACCTTCAAAATTGATAGTGACTTGATATCGGTCATTCCCAATATACATTACATTGCTTATAGTGATGTCTGCAGAAGGAATATTAGCTGTAAAACTTCTATGATCGAAGAACAAGTCTGGGCAGTTGGAATAAGGAGTAAAAATGGTAGCAGTTGCTGGCAAGAAAAAGCAGCAAATTAAAAATATCGCGTATACGTAAACGAAAGAGTAAGAAAGCTTCATATCAAAAATGGGTTTCTAGTGTCTTAGTCTTAGCTCTAAACACTACATTGTCGATATTCATATTAGTTGGTGGGTATATATATATGTATATACAGAATAATTAAATCGCAAAAAAATTATTTTGTTACTCATCCAGCCAGACTAGACAGTTACAAGAGATCCAAAAAAAAAAAAAAAAAAAAAGAAAAAAGGAAAAATAAGAACCGAAGCATAACACAAGATGGTTCCAAAACCCCGTACTTGTTGTCGCTTTGCCGCCTATCCCCAAGAAGTTTATTCCGGTAACCTCGTCAAACGAGACAGGCATTTTCAGTGTCTCAAATCAATTGGAAGCCACTTTTGCTTCATCGCCGACAATTATCAAGAAACCCAAGTGGATATAAAAAGTGCTCAATTGTAGGCGTCTCTGTAGTGATTTATTAAGAGGTGAATAGGAGCAGGTCAATCGTTGGGACAAGATCAAAAACAAATGTGTGAAAAGTTTTTCAATGGCCTCAAGATAGAAAAAAATTTTCCGAGAATTTATAAGGGATCGCATAATAGTCGCATTGGCGTATTGTTGCATAATAGTAAATACTTAATAAGAATCCAGAAGCTGTTTCAAGTGCCGAAACAGTAATCATGGGATTTTTTTTATTTCTCCCCCCCCCCCTTTTTTTCTTTTTTTTTTTGATGCCAGCGCGATGACTTTTATGATTATCGAGGACAAAAATTCTAAATGCTGTGAATTATATGGATAAATCCTCATCCTACATAAACAACCAAGCCAAAGCATGTACAGAATGCCAGAGAAAACTTTTCATCACTTTGTCGATGGACTACGAGAACCCTTCGAAGAACTACAGGTAACAGTAAACAAACCAGAAGAAACGTTTAGGTAACGACCGCTAGCAAATATCAAACTAAAAAATCTTGGCCAGGCTAATATAATATAGCATAAATAGTCACGAATGATTTCGTTTCGAACGTTTAGAAGAATAGAGCTGCATATCTTTTTAAATAGCTTTCGGAAGCAAAGGATGATACAAAGTTAGTAAGAGGTTTGGTCCGTATTCTAAGCTTGGCAATAACGATTAAGCTTTATGTTGATTTGATTTGATTTGATTTAATCTCAAGGATGAACGTTTTATATGTTGAAATCATAAAAATATTTATCGTAAAACTGAACTGTCTATTCATTAAGAAGGAATGACTTTTTCACGTTTTAAAGTATCGAATGTCTTCTGAAATCCTTGAAATGTATCATAGTATCCATGATAGCCGAATTGACGAGCCTTAATCATGGATGCAGCCACATAATAGGTTCTGCCTACCGTAAAATCGCAAAAGGCCCATGTACCAGTGTCTAAAAGGTTAGGATCCAAGTGTTCGCGTTCAGCAATCTGTTTCCATGCCTTCTTCACTTTATCTTGCTGGATCCACTTGGGAAAAGAAATATGGTTGATAAATTCAGTATTCGGGATATTCTTAATGCCCATTTCCTCTTGGTATAACCTGATAGGTGGAGGTGTGGGCAAGGTAATTTTGTTGCTTAAAGAAGACCAGTTATCAAATTGATTTTTAGGAATTTTTAAGCCAAAGTAGTCAGCAATCTTTGGCCAAGTTCTTGACCAGCTGTGAGAATCACCGTTTACAATATTGAACCGTTCATTGCTAGTTTCTGGTTTTTGAGCGGCCCATACTTCAAAGTCGGCGATCAAACCCGAGTAGGAAATATCATTAAGCCCTTTATAGATCTTTTCATTTCCTGGGAAATGGAATGGTTCATCCAATTCTTTACAGACGAGAGCATACAGTGCAATTGTGAATGCTTGATTCATGTAACCTCCTTGAGAAACACCACAGATGTCACTGGGCATAGCAATCACATAGTCCCAAGGCTTATTAGCACTCAATTCTTGAAGGATGTCTTCTTGAATGTAATAGAAATTTGGTAAACCTGAAAAACTTTCAGGAACACGGCGATCTGATTCTTCCATGGGAAGTCTTACTTCACCGAGTTGGGGTCCGTAGTACTTTAGACCAGTCGTTAATACAACTCTCGTTAGAGTCTTGTTATTGCTTTTTTCAAGACCTATTACAAAGTTTCTTAACATTGCTCCATTGGTCTTGCACGCTTCACCTTCATCTGATTCCTCTTTGTAGGCAGTGTGGAAGGCATATGTAATGTTTGTAACTCCCTCTTTTTGGAAAGTCGTTGCAATCTGTTCAGGATTTGAAGTGATTAAATCAATTGAATAGTGCTTAACTTTGCTAGGATACTTTCCTTTCAGTCTGCGAGAGACACAGTGAATCTTGGAGCATTTGGGTTCTTCTAAAAGTCGGTTGATGATGGCAGCACCATTAATGCCAGTCGCACCTGTAACGATTGCTTCAAAAGTGTTTGTCATTTTGTATTTCTCTTAGTTGGTTGTGTCTTTTAGCGGTATGTTTGACATATTTATACTTTTTCGCTGATGACTAAAAGTCAAATGATACAAGGGGGTTGCGGGTTCACATAAACACCAGTTGCGACAGGTGACAAATTGATGACAAAACATAATAATTGTTTGAAAGGAAAAGGTGGTTTTTTCTTTTTACTTTATTGCTTTGTTGCTTATTCATCTTCATTATCTGTCTTTGGGCAAGTGAAAACCAGGAAAGTATCAATATTACACTATACAATAGTCGTGTTGTTGGAAGTTAAAAGAAAGAGATAAAAGAGGCAAAAACCACCAAAGCTTTCCAGATTGTTGCTATGAATGAATGACTATAGGCATATCATTTTAGCTCCTCAGATGACGAAGTGCATTATCAATCTGTCCCTTCTTCCTTCTTGGGATATCTCATTTTCCTAGCCCCGACTGCAATGTCGGACTTGTGGGTTCTATCTACTTTGAATCATCTGCAAAGTCAAGTTGGTTCGGTTCGTTGCTTATATTTGTTAATACTTTTTCGTCATTTCCAAGATTATTGTGTCTTAAGCAGTCCTATTTTCTCAAACGACCTATGCGTCTTGGTGCAAATGGTATATATATAGAGTCGAGAAATCCTTTGCTTGGAAGTATCATATACTTGGCTTTTTTTTGATTCAGTTTGTAATGTGGTTTGTTGCACTTCTTTGTTTATTTTTTTGTTTTTGTTTTTGAATTATCACATCAGTGTCTATATCATTTAACATTACTGTTAAAATGAAGTTTTCCCTGTCTGCTGCCCTCTAGGTTTCTGTTCTTAGTGCCACCAGTATCTTTGGTTCTCAAGTCCCCACTACTAAGCATGACTTGTCGTTTAAGAAAAAATTCGGCATCATGAGTCTTCACTCTGGTAATTTAAAATGTCCACCTTCATCCTTTCTTTGTTGGCAAGTCAGGACATGTTTATTTGACTCCACATGATCATGCTAATCAAGTAAATGAGTTTTACCTGAAAGACACTCAATTATATCACAAAAATGAGACTGCTTTTCTCGAGAAGGACGGAGCTCTTGTCTTTAAATCCTCTGGCAACTCTCCTTTGACCGGTTTTAAGACTAAGCAAGTTACCCCCATTGGCTACGAATTCCGATACAACAACAGTTTTCCTGTCGCATGTCATGTTCCCAACACCGATGAAGTTTATCAAATCTACTATGGCAAGGGTAATAACACCAATGACTGCGTTGGAGTCGTTACCGAGCTTGTTATTCCTTAAATAGTGACTTAGTTACCTTGGTTGTAATTTTTTATCGATACATTGAATATCCTTTAAAAATTGCTCGACCACGTATTCAGTCAATGCAGATTGTGTTTATAATAAATTTGTATATGATAACTCACTTGTTAAATGGTAGCCTGTATATTTTTGTCTAATTTACTCCTTTTCTTTATCGGGATTCCATCTGATCAACAACCGCTTTGTCCATAGGAAGGTATATTTCTTTTGTGTATTTTCTGGATGGCTTACGTAGAATGAGTCGCGCTACTTCATTTTACCGTTCGTCGGCTATGAGCGTAGACGATACTCAAAAACAACTCAATTCACGTTGGCGAAAAGACGCTATTCTAACCGAGCGTAGACTCTGTGTTTATTTGTTTGCTTTTTTATCCATCTCAAGAAACCCCATTCCCCTCGTGTAGGCTCCGTATCCCAGCTCCAGCATCTCTTGTATTTGGATATGAATTTATGTTTGAGCAAGTAAAGTGCATGCAAAAGGAATGGTTCACGACGATCATTGTGTGTGTCCAGTTACATAAAAAAATAAGGTCTTTTGGATATTTGACTTTTTATTAGTAAATAAATGCAGATGCTTCGGTCGGGCACGGGCAATTCAAGTGATCAGATCCTCCTGGATAATACAAGTGCTCACTCATTCTCTTTCTCTGTCTGTTTTCTGTCTCTGGCTCTTTCCATAGAGTTCTATCGTTCAGATGGAGCATACAAGGAAACAAATATGTAAAAGACAAAACGCAAAAGTAAATAGTAAATAGAAACCTTATGAAACAATTGAATAACATGAAGTAAAATAAATTAAAACTCTGTATAAAAAATGAAATGTGAAAAGCTGATAAAAAGTGGAAAAACACGAATTCACTTTTACTACTTTTGTATCGTTTGTTTGGACGTTATATCAACGTTCGAAAATTTAAACTTTCATAAATTTAACGAAAAAAACACATATGAAGTGCATTTTCTGACTTTCATCTGCTGTTAGGAAACAGAATCATTAAACGACAAACACGCTTTGAAAAAAAGCAAATGCTCAATAAAACTAGTACTTTAGTTACGACTCTAGTAATATGTGGAAGAAGATGTCACAGACTGTCAAGGCCGAGGTATTATTGTATTATACAAGAGAGGCGTATAACCTGTCATTGTCATAACCGGTATACGATATTACTAATATCTTGATACATTTATCATATAACTATAAGGATTCATTAGTACAATGAAAACACAGAAGCTGATAGACAAAGAATTAAAAAAAGACAAAGAGATTAGTTTAGATAAAGACTTTGTTACTAATTATAAATAGGCAGAAACTATTAAGCCAAATCTTCAGATTGGAAGATTTGACTGATCTAGCTAAATAAATTGTTTGTACAACTTGCTTAGTGAATCAGATCCCTGGAAGCTATTACTATTCTTTTTCTAGTAGTATAAAAGCATCCAATTCTAGTACAATTCTTGTTAAATTGTATATTCGTTTCCACTGAATACTTATTCTCATAACAAGTGAGACTTCACCTGTGACAGTTACAATCAGGGAGAACAAGGTCTTTCTTTAATAGGAGTCGGTATTGGAATTGTTCTAGCCACATCTTTAGCTCCCGCTGTTTATTACCAATATCTCAAAGTTTATAAAGAGATGAATTGATACGTTTCCCCGGAGCATCGTTTGTGTCCATTATTTTTTGGATCTCTTCTGTTACCGATAAGACTATTTTGCTTTGCCTGGACGTGCTATCCTTAAAAAGTACACTTGTTGGTCCCTATAGTTTTTGAAACTGTGTTTGGAGCTTCCATTTTGCTCACTTTTTCAAGTATTTTTGGATGTACATTGCATTTGATATTTGGAGTTAATTTAGACTATTATTTCTTGTTCTTGTTCTGGTTTCTTTATTTTTAATTTATTTATTTATTTATTAATACTAATATTAGAGAGGTACAATTTAAAAAGACTAGAATACAGCTAGTATAGGCCTTGTGACTAAAAACTACCGGAATGTATAGTATAATCTTTGGATCATAAATGCAGTCTTTTGGTCTTCTTTGTACGCCGGTTTCATGCTGTATATACAAAAGTATTAAACGAAATTGAAAAAGATAAAAATTCCATACACTTCATGCATCTGTCAATGATTGAAGTGAGTAGTTATAAACACTTTACTTAGTACTTTACCTTTTCTTCTGAACCCTTATCATTCAAAAATTGACAAACCTGTATCTACATTTTGTTGGAATCTTCAAATCACTTTTAGCTTAACTATTGTTCAAAAACAGTAAGCTTTCATCTTGAATTTTAAAATATCTTATTACAATCCTTTATTTATTTCTACTTTTCTGTTTTCTTGCCAAAAAAATAAACTTTTTTTTCTTTGAAGAACACATACCTAAATAAACTTGATAGTTAGTGTTTGTTTTTATTGAAATTGTAGGGTGATTAAAGTTAATATATAATGTAACGACTTATGGTTGAAGTTTAATAGCCCTTTTTATAAGTGAAAGTTTGAAAACAATCTCATAAATATATAATGTTTGAAGAAAAAGGAAAGAAAAAAGAAGTCAACATATCCCTTTACTTTCCTTTCCTTTTCTTAAAAGTCATCAATCATGGCAAATTTTTTCTCTTTACGATCTTTAAATATCGATGTCGGATTCGATGTCGGATTCGGATTTCGCTTAAAAACTCCGACATGGTTCGGTTTTGTCACTAAAAAATTTTGATATGTTTTATAAAGTGTAGTAACATAATCCTTGATCTGTTAAAGTGGATTTCCAGCGGACTTGTTATAATAAGTCCGATGTCCGAAATTTTCAAAAGAAGAGTAAGCCACAACCGCCGAATGCTATAAAAGGAACAAGAAAAATCAACATGATGCTTTCAGTCCTTTCCGGCATATATAATATTATCTATCCTTTTATTGATAAGTTTATTACGCGCCAAACGATAGATTATAAACGGTTTATAACCTGTCAATAAAACATGAGTAGAACCCATCTTAACAATGAAGATCTTTTTGGTTACATACCTAATGCTACGTGGGCAAAAGCAGCCACAGGTTTACTTTGCGTTGCTTGTTTACTACATATAGCAGCGTTTATAAAGTCGCCAAAATCCGTTGCTTGGGTAGTAATAATTGGAACACTTGGAGAAATTGGAGGTTGGCTATGCAGACTATACGCTAATTATCGTGTACAAACAGCTACATTTTTCATTTTCCAATTCCTTGTTTTGTTGGTGGCGCCTATCTTTTATTCAGCCGTGTTGTATGTCTTGCTATATCGGTGGTCACTTCATTATGGTCCTCAATTTTCATTACTTCGACCAAAGTATTATGTAGCTATATTTGTCACTGCAGACGTTATAGCTTTCATAGTACAAATAGCTGGCGGAGGTTTGTCAAATAATGATACAAACCCAAAACTAGGGTTTTATATTGCTTTGGCCGGTGTCATTTTTCAGCTTGTATGCACTGTCTTATTTTGTGTTTTGCAATTGATATTTGTAATTAGTGTGATTCGAGTAAGACCTGTACGCGTTGTACCAGGTTCATATGCATTATACTCACCAAGGACGAAATTAAGGGACTTGTCATTTTTATGTCTAACTATCTCAACAATTGCGGTTCTAGTCCGTATTATTTACCGAACCGCCGAGTTTGCAGACAACGATAAATTTAAAGGCTCTGAATTATGGTTTGATATACTTGACTTTGTGCCAATGTTTATTACTGCATTGTTTTTGGCTCCAGCGCTTTATCCTAGCATTTACAAACCAGTAAATTCTGGCGCACCGGAAAGACTCTATTCTCACAGCAGTCAGGATTTGTCAATGGATGAAGAAAGAAGTATTTTGAAATAAAGCTTTTTATATTATGTTTATGATATCATACACTTTTGTTGCAATGAATGCCATTATACCCTAAATTTGCATTACTTTAAGGTGGACGAGCGGAGTGAGCTTATTTACATATTTTATTCAAGTACTTTATAGCATATCTACAAAAAAGAAAAGAAAATATAATTATTGTTAGAATCGTCGCAAAAAAATACTATAAACTATCGCTAAACGTCGCAAAGAAAAAATGTTTAAACAGTCAAGTAGAGACCTTCAATAGGGTTAGTCTCTTGATAGTATTTCATGTAGGACTCATCAGTAACGCCGGACAACTCATAAGTGACACTTGTGTAAGTGTAAGGGCACGTGATGTTCGTGGTGTAATCACAACCATCGGAAGAGCAGTTAAAATGACCGATTTCAGCTTCGCGGCCAGGGCGATTGGCCCAAGTAGTGAGAATATTGGCGACAGAAGTAAAGTTGTAGAGCTTGAATTCTCCGATGCCGTTGGGGCCATCAACTTTAATAGGGTTACTATTCTTATCAAGATGAAAGTGAAGTTGGCAGTGCTTTTCGTCAATTTGAGGAATTTCGAAATTGAAAAGAGCGTTGACATGAGTATCTTGATTTTGATAAACAATAGGAGAAAATTGTTTGCCATAATTAGTGTTTGGAGAAGAAGAGTTGACGAAACGAACGGCATTAGGGAAAATGGAAGGTCCATTATCGGCTTCTTTTACATCTTGGTCTTTAGCTTTCTTTACTTTTTGGCTTCCGATAATAGCAATATCCTCTATTTTAGCGTCGGAGGTTTGTTTAGAAGAAGAAGAAGTATTATTTGGAAGTGCAAGGGCTGTAAAGCCAACACACTTGTTATTACCATTTCCTTTACCAAAAAAGACAGAGTAAACAGAAGAATTTTCTTCGATTGGACAAGCTACGGGGCTTTGTCCATTAAGTTCTAGAGCATAGCCAGAAGCAATGCGTTCTCCAAAATCAAATCCAAGAATGGAACCCTCATCATTACGTTGAAAGTATAACGCACCATTATCGCCAAGGTGAGCAGAAAATCCTTCATGGAGTAAATAAGTATCTGCTAAAGTGAATTTGGCCGCTTCATTTCCATTATCATAAGGATCGAGGTAGACGTTATTGTTGTCACCAACATAAAAGGAATGGAAATGAACATTGATGTTACCTGAGCGGAGGCTCATAACAGAAAACTCTTCATTCTGTTTGATATCAGAACGCTCGGTTAGAGGAGCTGCAAGAGAAGAAATCGGGCTATAAGCTAAAAGGGAGAATAATGCATAAGAAAGAGAAACGGAGGAAATCAACTTTATCATGAAAAAGGCAGATAATTCTTTGAAGTGAGGAAAATCAAAGATGAAGACAAAAAAATAAATTATGCGGATCAAAAAAAAAATGGATGAATAAATGGGTTACTTATGATAGAAAATAACGACTAAAGGATCAATTGTTGACAAAAGATGCCGTAAAAAAGTGAAAAATAATAGTAAAAGGGAATTTGCAAGTGAGGAAAACGATGCAAATGAAAACAAAAGACTATTGGTAATCTTTCCTAGAGTTGTAAGAGCAGCTTAATCACACAATAATCAATAAGACTTTACTGCTTTCTCGAGCAATTGGTTGTGGTTTCGATAGTTGAAAAGTGGTCTCTATTTATAGCAAAAAGTACACACAAGCCCAATCCAAGTATTGAGTCCCACTCGGTATCATGAAGTGAAAGATTGAAATTTATGGCGTAAGGTTTCTCCTCTTTTGAATGACTATCGTTTTCACGTTGCTAAAAAAGTAACGTAAACAAAGCGTACATGCAGTTGTCGGAGTGGTTGCCAACTTTGACTTTTGATTGAGGAACGGGTGAGCGACAAAGTGAACAAACTCCGACAAATATCAATTAATAAGAGATACAAATGATTTCCATATATCATTCTTTTGGATAAACTATTCGGTCGCTTACTATAAATTTTTTATTCTATACATTTCAATTTCCTATTCTTTTGCTCTTGCTCTTGCTCTTGTTTTTCATTTGAAATACATAATTATACGGTTTAGGATTTCTGTCGTGGCATAATGAAAGTAGTTAAAGATGGGATTAGAGGTCCATATTGAACATATACAGACCCAGAACCAGGATAAATAAAAGTTTCTTCACTATATAGAAGCGGTAGGTTAAGTAACACTGAACTCATCCATCAATATGTTACTTAGAATAGTAAATAAACCAAATGGTGATTGTAATCAAGCAAATCTTCACAACCAAGGTAAAAGACATTTGAAATAATTACTGAAACCCCATTTTTCATCTTTCTAATGGATGAATATTATTATCTCTCATTTCATGTATGCCTCTCGTCCTTCCTTCTGAAAGAACAAAACTATTCAATGTACAAATTGTCCAACCCATTTGCGATCGCCTCCTTCGTTAGAAATTTTTCACCCATAGGATAGATATTCTTCAGTCCCTTGTATGGTATCATACCACTTTCTAAAGCAAACTTGACTGTTTGCTGAAGGGCAAATAAAGGATGATCTTCTCCTTCTTCATCAATATCCTTTTCAAGCACTTTTAGCCATCCATCCAGTGAAACGAATTGTAGCTTTTTATTCTTTTTCTTCAAGAATTCACAAATTTGGGCAAACTCGTTACCGTCAATTCTATCGTATGCAAGTAGAGGAGCATACTCATCAGCCTGTTTCTCCATTATCTGAGTCAACGCTATACACAATGCATTGGTGGTAGAAATACGAAAGAGCAGCGGTTGAGATTCACTGTATTGGGGGTAAGCACCCATTCGTAATGCTGATATGACGAAACGCCAAAAGAAATCTCTAGATAGGATCTCTCCATCGCTTGCTACGATAAATCCTGGACGAATAACATATATTGAAGGGTGTCCTAAATCTTTTACTTTTTTACACAAAAGCTCAGAAACGTATTTAGATAGTGCATAACCGGATGTTTTAGTAGACTGAATGCGATCGTCAAGCTCTATTTCTTGTTGTCCACCTCCTGAAATAAAGTAAAGCGCTTTTGGACCCATTACACTCAGCTCCAAAATCGTTTTCGTTCCCAAGACATTCACTGGCCTAAGTTCTTGATACGATTTCATCCAGTGTACTTTAGCTCCCATGTGATAGATTCGGAAAACATTTTTTATGAGAAAATCCCATTTTGCATTATCCAAACCAAACCTTGTTTCCTCTAAATGAGCTGCCCATACAATGAATCTTTTACCAGAAATTCAAAGACTTGGAACGAGTGACGTTAATCGTTCTTCAGCGGCTTTATCAGAAGAATCTCGTATCAAACATACAACACTCATATCCATTTCCAATAGATACTCCAAGAACCGGCGACCAAGGTAAACTGTCGCCCCAGTCAGCAAAACGTATTGGGCATTGGTATGCATAATAGTAAAGTTGGGAATGGTACGTGCTAAAGCACATGCATCTTCATGTAGAAGCCTGTAGGAAATTGTCGATAAATTCACGCTTTTCTCTTGAATTACAAAAGCTAGTGAGCTAGGAGTACGTCGGTCACGACACAGACAAAACCCTCATGGCCGATTTTTTCAGGGACAAGTTCATTCTTTTGTGTAAACAAGAAAAGTTTTTTAACTGTTTTTCCGGGAAAGTATACAAGTTTTTTGTTATGCAACGTATCTTCTCCATTAGGAGCAAAAAAAGAAACTAATCCTGATTCAGTGGTACCATATTGTGGGTAAATGATTGCATTTGGCAAGACTCGTTTGCATATATGATACATGTTTGCAGGAACCATTTCGCCGCCGGCAGCAACTAGCTAACAAGAGGGAAATGATTCAGACTTGTCAGGCATTATTTGAAGAGTTAGAACAAGGAGATTGGGCAAAATTATCAAACGTTCGCATCCAGCACGAAGAGCATAATAGACATTCCAAGCAAGTTGTGTTCAGCCTCTGAAGTAAAAGTACGATTAGACGATATTGAGGAAGATGGATACAGTAAGCTTCCATTACAGTACAAGGCATTAAGCCAACTCCATGTCGTTAAAGCAAAGCTGGGAGCCATTACCATGGGCGTGAAAAGATGATTCATGAAGTCTGGAGTTCCATAGTCATAACCGAAAGCATATTTTTTGATGAGAAATGGCATCGATTTAGAAACACCAGTAGATCCACTGGAATGATTGATAAGTGCTACTTGTGGTTCCAACCCAGCGCGAATGCAAGGAACGTTAAGGTCCGTCTGGAGGCAAGCAAAGGAAAGGACATTCAAAGAATCCACCTGAAAAACAGGCGCATATTCATGATAAAGAAAATCAGAAATATCTAAACGTTGAACAAGAGCATATACAAGCCCTTGGGACCAGACACGATTAAGAATGACACAAGTTCGTCCAGTAGCCCACAAAGCAAAGATAGTACTCGTGACCCATATGAATTCCAACCGTTTTCCCCAAGCCAATATCATTGCAGAATTTAGCGACTGTCTTAACACGACAAAGTAAATCTTTATATGTATACTCAGCGACAACTGTGTATTCATTGTACACATAGATAAAACGATGATCTGGTGTTTCATTTGCATTTCTTAATAGGCGAGCGACAGGTGTATCCTCTTCTCTAGGAGAAACCAATATGGATGAAGAGGACGTTGTATTTAAAGATTTTGGTGACATCCTTTGTTTCGTTTAGTTTCGTTTCAAATCCCAATATGAACCAAGAAGATCAAGCCTTTGAAACGTATAGCAGCAAGTTTTGACCCCTCTCCCAAATTTAAAGGTAGACATTTCCTTTTCACTCTAAAAGTTGGCTTTATATGCCAAAAATACAAAAATCTTCACTTCATGCGAAAGCTATGCAGCACCGGTTATAGGATTCCGACTCGATTACCCATAATCAAGGTATACAGTATCCGGGAGACTATATGTTGGCCTTGGAACTTTCAGAGTTATTGGAATCGAATTTTATACTGTATGTATGTTAAATAGGAGCAACAAGCACTAAGTATGGCATACGGACACAGCGATCGATTCCAACTAATGTACATCATCCACTGACCGTCTTGAACTCCCCAGAAGATAAATTGACGAATATTAGTACAGAATTCTTTGGAGACATTGTGACTAATGGTTCTAATCCATAATTCTTTGGAGACATTGTGACTGATGGTTCTAATGGTTCTAATGTTATAATCCACATAAACCTACAGCCACATGTCAAAATATGTTGCATCAGTGGTGTAGCGGTAACATGGATGCCTTCCAAGCATTCGCTCCGGGTTCGACTCCCGGCTGATGCAAATGTTCATTTTTAATTTGTAATTTGTAAATAAATAAATAAACAAGAAAAACCAGGACAGAAATCACACGCCGTATAATAAAGGAGCTTCGAGTAAAACGAACAACTTTCGAAAGTATTCCTATATATCTCAAATGGAAGACTCGGTACTATGTAAATGAATAGTAAGTAAAAAGACGGCTGACCCGTCGATTCTTCCAATTTGTAAGTTTCGACTTAGATAAGTTGTTTATACAGTTTTTCTCCGACAGTCAAAGTAATCTTTTTCTTTGTTCTATCATTTTAGTCCCCATTTCGTTTTGCATCACGATTTTCATTGTTTGTTTACTTAGTAATATGACTTTTCATCTCCGCTAACTAATATAATAAAGATGAACACGTGGCCGACCACGACGTGACATATGTGACAACATGAGTTATCAATCGCATGTATATTAGCTTTGTGCTACACGCTCATTGGCTCGATTTGTATAAGGCTGCGGGGTATAGCAACCGAAGAACGTTTGACTCGGCACATGATAAAGTTTCACCACCACCACCACCATGTCGCTTGTTTTTCCTAGCTCGGACTATAGGACTCGGGTTAATTCATTATAAGTTGACAAGTCAGTTCTGGTTCGTTGTTTACGTCTGTCATGTCGTTCCTAGTTCCGTGGTGGTATGATCTGTACAACCTTTTCTTATCTTTTATGACGGATTGTTTCTTGCTACAATTGATATATAAAGCCTGAGATTTCCTTCCAACTCGTCAGATATCATCGAAAAAAGAATCCATCCTTTGACTCGACTCGTTTTTGCATTTATCTATCATATTTAATTCATTTTGAACAACATATCTTTTTTTTTTTAATATATTTCAAACTACTACTAAAATGAAGTTTTCCTTGTCTGCTGTCTTCCTTACTCTTCTTGGAGCCACCTCTACGTTGGCTACCCCAGCTTCAACATCTTCTCTTGATAAAGAATTTGGTATCGTGAGTAGTCACTCTGGTAACATTCATGTCCACCTACGCACATTCGAAGTTGGTCAATCTGGTCATGTCTACTTGAGTGAATATGACAATTCTGACGGTAATCCTCATTTTACTCTCAAAAACGGAGAGCTATTCCATGAAAACAAGGTTGCTTCTCTTGACAAGAATGGCGCCCTTGTTTTCGAATCCTCTGGCTCTCCTGTGTCAGGTTTCGAAGCTAAGCAGGAGAATTCCCAATTCTATGAACTCAGCTTGAACAGTAGTTTCCCTGTCGCATGCCCTGTTCCCAATGCCAACGATGTTTATCAAATTTACTACGGCAAGGGTAATGGCAATGCTGACTGCGTTGGTATTTTCCCTTTGGCTGCCTTTCCATAAATGCCGTTCTTATTTGAATTTTACGCCTTTCATTTCATACCTTTTTACACAACATTTATGTTATGCTCGATTCAACTCGACAACCTTGACTATTAGCTAGTTTTACATTTGCATACAAGTTTTCCTTTCTGCTTCAATTAAAGGATTTTTATTTAGCATATCTAATTTTTCAATCATCTATTTTCTGTAATCTGGGTAAAGTGAAGAAAGATTGTATTCGGAATCTGCTGAGGAAGAACGCAATATCCTCAACGTTAGTTCTTAGTAAGACATAAAGAGCATTTGAAAGATTTTTGTTTTGTAAGCAATTTGTAAAGAAAACTTTATGGTTCAATGGACTCTTAAACTCTGCTAAACAATTTTTCTGGATACTAATAAATATTTCTATTACCAATTTACTCTATAAGACCTACTCGTTTCACAAGCAACTCCCCTAGGAGATGAGGGACTGGTAACAGAGATAATAGTAGAAAGAAGCCGTGTTCACAAAGCGGGAGAAGGATTCCTGCTTTAAGCGCTTGGTGGTGTGGTGTAAGAATGAACTCTTCTGATTGAGCATATATTTCCTCAGCACGCTAGGTGTTGCCCATGTTGATGCGATAACCTCCACCAACTGGCCAATTGGTAGTATCAGTGGTATAGCTTGCCATCCATTACAGAAACCGTCGCAAGCAACTTGGTAAAGGGAGGATAAAGAAGTAATTACTTGAATAAATTCCCACGACATTCTTGTCAAAATTCCAGGTAATTGTGTGATTTTCACCAGTTTCCCATTGTTCAGATGTTGATTTGTATAGCCAAAGAGTAAGCGATGGAGGCAAAAATGCGAGTTTTGATATCATGTTGAAAAGAGACAGATTAGTAAAAGGATTCAAGATATAGATACTCACGGATTGACGGGATGAAAAAAATCCATATATAAAATACAATAAGAATGGTTTGAATGATTTTTTACTGATGGTTTCATGAAGCGTGAGGGATCTACTTTTAGACAAAAATTTATCCCGTATATTGTAAACAAACAAACATATAGGAAATGTACATTCAAACATCGATAATAAGCGATTGGTTATTCAAATTAAGTTTGTTTCGCCGTTTGTTTATTAATTTACAAATAGCTCGTGGAATTGGGGTGAATGGTACACATTTGGTTTAACTGAGGGCGCATGCTGGTGAAACCTTATAGGGGATTTTTCAAAATCACCAGCCTTTTACAATGGAGACGTTTCTCACGTTCCCTTTTGTGTGAAGTTGACACACTTTAAGCAATGAAGGCTTCTTCTTGGTTTTAAAATGCGAGTTGGTTGATATGTGTTAAGCCTCTAAGATAGCAATAAGCATATTCGTACCACAAGCAAGCGTAGAAATGTTATTCGAATTCCAATCCACCAAAAGCATATATACTAGCAGTAGCGCAACATTTACCAATAGCAGCGGGTGACGGTCGGTGGTATCTACATACATAAACCATATTTAAATTCGTAACGGCTTTCCGTAAAGAAAAAATTTACTTATAATGAAAGCAGGATTTTATTACGCCTGCCTTTGGAAAATAGTAAGCATTCATAGTTTGGTTTGAAAATATAACATCTGTGATGAGCGCTTGAATTGACTTTAAAGATTTGCTGAAAGAACCTGTTTATTGTTTTTTTTTCGGATTACAAAACCATATCCTAGTAATCGTTGTCATAAAGTAAAATTTTAAAAAATGTTTAGGTATTTACAACTTTTCAGAAATCATCTAAAAGACCACATAGTATATTGTTAGTTGAACTCAGAGAAGTGATGACTAAGATCGTAGACGCTGATTAAACCAAGGGCATCACAAAGTCTTTCTTTCATTTGAATTGACTCGTTGAAATTGAAGCGGATTCCGTACCCATCTAAGTAGCGAGCGCACTGGTCCCTTGTTAAGCCATCAATGTCTTTAACAGATCTAATTTCTGGCAAATCATCATCTGGCTGAGTCCCACTTAGAAAAGGAACGATATTTATAGGATCTCCCATTGACCTCAACCGGATATTATCCGTTTTCGTAATTTTCTCATTCCATTCTGTTAAATCTCGTTTCCATTCTTGAAGGAAATGCAAGTCAGCCAATTCTTCAACCACCGCGGTGGTTGATCTTCAGCAACATCTTCTGCTCGCCTTATTGATTAGCAACATTTTGAGTAACTTGAATTCGATGAATCATGCCAACTTCATTCTGAAGTTGCGAGCTTTTCATAGCAAATCCTATATCTTTTAAAAGAAATGATTATTCTTTGATATTAATGATTAAATTAATATAGAGTTCTTTAATATTTGAATTCTTCTTTTCTAATCTACATTGCGAAACTCTTCTTTTAGACTATAAAAGCCCGCCAAAAAATAAAACGGTACCACCATTCATGAATGTCTGAATATGATGTAAAATTGATATAATAGGAAAGTAGTATGGTAATATGGAACTCCTTCACATGAGCATTGTCCAACAAGGACTTGTTCAAGTAAAGATACACTTGACGGAAGTTGATTAACGGTACTCTTCATTACTAAAGTTTTTCAGCTAGTATTTATAAATTGTAGGATCCGTCGTCTATGAGACGCTAAATGTATAAAGACTTGGAGTAGAGCCCTTTGGTGTCATACATATAGATTCAATCGAAGGGATAAGCATCTCTTTATAATCAATCATTATACGTTTTGTGGAAACCCACCTTCAAACCCAAATTAAAAGAAGACTAAACTAAACCGTTATGGCATATTATGGGCTCTCTTCTTAAAAGCAAGTGATCCAAAACTTGTGGACCAACCGTTCTCATCGAGTAACTGAGCCAATTCTTTTAACAGTCCTTTTTCTAGATGAACTCGACCTGCTTCAGGAATATAAAATTTGACGGGCTATAAGTTGCGAACATCAGACAGGCGAATTTGAATTCGATATGCTTTTGAAAACCGAGCTACCGAGTTTCAAATAGCCTTTACGTCATAACGGTTAGTGAGTCATCCATGTATAGATATAGATATAGATACATATATATATATATATATATATATATATCTATATATAACTGCATGCGATGGACAACGATTCATCAGTGAATTTCACCCATCCTTTGCTGACCAGTTCTCATTATGGATATTGAAGATTATAATATCATTTCGAATTACAGGAGGGATCATACCTTATATATCTTGCCAAACCAAAAATCACGAGATGCAGTTGATGCTCACATAGATATACAAGCCGTTACTTGGGCTATTATTAGTACGGTGATTGACATGTTAGGTGACCAGGCAAACTGTTGGAAATATCAAATTCAAGGATTAAACAGCCATGTTAGCGTTTGGCCTACTGAAGCAGGCATCAACAAAGATATCATACACGAATTGGAAAATTCTGCTAAACACAATCTTAGAATACGTGGGTTCCCTATATTAGAGCCAACTAATATAGAAGACTGCGAGGACGAAGAAACAAGTCAAAGCGAGGGGCCCCTTACCGCTATTTTTGATGATGTTTGTCTAATCTGCGACTGCTGGCTGGATTATACCACGAAATTAGGGTTAATAAGAAGTGGAAACTTTATCAAGAATAAAGCAAGTAAAGACAGTGCCCGTGACTTAGAATTGTGGCGCTTCCGTAATGATCGCAACAATATTAAATTGGAAGATGGAGAGATGTTTTCCAACATAGTAAAAGACTAAGTGATCACTAGTCTTCTTCGTGGCTCAATATAGCATCTCCATCTTTTCACGGTGTCCGTTTATTGCGGGAGGTGTCATATCCATATCCATGTCACCTGCCAAGTGTCATGTCACGATAGGTGTCTCGTTTATATATTATTTTACAATATTTTAAGAGCATATTGTCGAATATCGGCAAATATCATAAGATTAAAGGATGAACTTATTACGAACGGTAAACAAAACAAAGAAACCATGATTTTAACAAATCGGACAGTCTTTCGGAACGGAAGTCTTTCGATTAAGAAATTCCTTCTTACAAAGAGATAGATTACGTTAGCTTAAAAAAAATATATAAACTATGAATCTGCAGTCGAATTCTTTAGATTGGAAGATTCGACTGGTTTGGCTAAATAAGATCGTCTTCCTGCTTTCAGTTTAGTTAACCAGATGCCTGGATATTACTAGCGACTATACTCGTAGTACAACTTAGTCCAATTAACGTAAACTATCCTGCATTTGTATATTTGTTTCCACTGAATACGTATTCTCATAACAAGTGAGACTTCATCTGTGACAGACAATATAATATTAAAACAATATCTTTCGTAATACCGACACTAGCATACTGTCCGACGACCATCAATGCGTTAACAGTCGTTAACCATTTACCGAAGTACAAGACATCCCTAATTCCACTTGTCTTTTCGCACCGTTGTTTTGACAACAGAGGGACCTCCCAAGCAAGTGTCCCAACTAAAAAAACAAACAAAGCAACTACCAACACCTTTTTCATGTGATCTATAGTCCTTACACACTTCATTTTCGCTGCCCCTTCTCAAGAATGAGTCAAGGTTTATTTACGAACCCATTTGGGATTCCTCCACCATCTGATGATTCTTATGCTTCCTTAAGCCGTTTCATAGCTGAATTCTCACAGGCGGTTCCTGGAGACCAGTTTGCCTCGTTTGCAAATCAACTGTCAAGTCTAAGTGAAGCGCTTGTATCCAAATTTCGAGGAGGAACTCGACCGCTGGACAACATGTCTGAAATTCGTGCGATGTTTCAAACTCTTGACCAAAAGTTTACTAATCTAGAAGATGGACAAACTAGCCTCAAAGAAGAGATGATTCGAGGACAAAGTAGCCTTAGAGAAGAGATGATTCGAGGACAAAATAGCCTCCGAGAAGGACAAATAAGGCTAGAAGGAAAACTTGAATCTTTGAACAGTATTTTTCTAGCTAATAAGGGTGATGTCTATTTACAGTGCCGCGAAATTGATTCCAAAGTTAACAAGACAAGATCCTCAGCGCAGAGATCTGAAAATATTATCAACAGATTCGTTGCGAAAGATACAAAACCGATTCCATTTGTTAATGGACAGGAACCTCCTACTGAGCTACCTGAGTTAAAAACTATCTCCGACGTTGACAATTTGAATCCACAGCAATTGAAAACGTATACAGAGGGATATGGGTTTAAGTATGACGAGAATGAGCCTCAAAAGTCTCTTAAAAGAAAAATTGCAGACTCTGCTGGTTTTGTTACTCACCAGGATGTTTTATACGAATTGTCAGACAGCAATGAATCCCTTCGAGACGTAGGAAACCAAAGTAGTGCACCAAATCAACGGGCAGGTACACGCAGGCTTTGTCATCATTGATAAGTATTACGAGTAGAACCGAATTTTTCATCTCTTCTTATTATAAAGCTTATTCAAAGCTTTTTAACTTCTTGCTGTTGAAGAAAATAACTTTATCTTTCCTAAGCATATTTATTTCAGGTAATGCCTATTCGCCATATTAGACTTTTCAAGATTGCATAAATATCCTGTATGGCTTGAAAAAAGAATATGGATCCTCTCTCTGTCTCTTTACCAATTCTATCGAAGATGAGAGTTATCCTAGAGGTGTGTTTCTCGGGATTAACGCTTAAATTATATGAAGCGGTCATAATCATGACCGCTGGTTTGACTTAATTTTAATGCGCTTGTTACCTAATTTGAACGCTGCGTCTAACTTCAGATTCAGGTTCTGCGTTGGGTTGAGTTGAGTGAACGTCGATGAACGCTGTTCCAACTTGGGATAGCGATCATGTTCGTTTGTTTTATGTTCGTTTGATTTTTGATTTTTTAATTTGTTTTATGAAACTAATGAAAACTCAAACAATTCAATTGTGGAAAATGCTGGTGAACGTTACAATTGTTATGAAATCATATTAAATGTTGTTTCTCGAGTTTGCAACATTGTAGGACGTTTCCATTTCTATATTCAAGTTTACAGAGTGTAGTATACAATGAATTTTTTGTTTTTTTTTTTTACTAGTATCTGTCAAATGGAAGCCGAATTGGTTATTCAAAGATATAGAAGACTGACTGATTATAAGTAAACTTACAGTAAGTGATTTGTTGTAATATGAGTAGTACTACCTCTTTAGTATCATATGAATGCCAAGAATGTTCATTGGAATGGACGGGAACTGGTGTTTTCGCTTAGGTATGGCCGTAAACAGCACAGAGCTCGTCTAAGCTTATTCATACCGAATAACCAAACAAATAGTCTCCATACGTATAATATAATGTCTATTGGAATTGGACGCTTAAGTACTATGGACAAGGATAGTAATATGTCCAGGGATCTGGTGAACTAAATGAAACGACCAAGTGTCAATCTTATTCAGCCAGACCAGTCGAAACATACTCAGTATGTTCATTATGTTTCTCACAATGGTGGTGGGGCCAAACATGAATGATTAACTACTTATTGTATGTCGGCTTATTAGCTTGGTAAAGCATAAAACGGATTCTTCAAGTCATCTTGACATACATCTGAGGGCGTCACAAACTGCTCGTTACTACTGCACCCCTTGTCTTTTCACATAAACTTATGTAATCTCCTCGTTTACTATTCCAGATTGATGCAGTTCATATGCGCTTCAGACGAAGGAACTCAGGTAGCGAATCTGGATTAGCTAACGCGTCCTCCAAGGAGGTAACAGGACGCAAATTATCATCATCTGGGAAATTGACATACTTATAGTGTGAAAAAGACAGCCCGTAAGCAAACGAATTAAAGCACCTCGCCATTACGGGATCGAGGGTATCAGTATCAATTTCGGTCATATTGCTTACAAGTGTTAGTGATTGTGCATCGTCAGTGGCTATAACTGTGTTGCCTGGAAAGCCGGACGCGGACAAACATGTAAGCATATTTACTGCATCTACATGCGTGGAATTATCTCTTGGGATGGGTTGAAATAGATGTCGTTCTCCTAACAAAGTGGCAAGTCCACTAACTAGGAGAGAAAAATAAGTTAATATGGCAGTATGCATCTTGGCTTTGGAGACTTGTATGAATGTCCGCCCGGGGTTTGTTTGTGCGTGCTTGCTTGCCTACTTACTTATTCCATGATATTATGAGATTTGTATAGTACAATACATCCGTGCACGCTCGGTGGTGGATTACTTTAGTTACTCGGTGTAGAAAATTACGTAGCAGCCCTGTGTCAAAAGTAGCTTACAAGTTAGCTAGTCAATGTGCTTATACCACTACTGACACAATTTGGTGCATGTACAGTTGATTACTAAGGTTTAAAAGTATAGTATCGGTATTAGCTCTTTATATATTGCACAGAATCACTAGGATGTAATTCCAAGATATTCCCTTATTACCCTAGTACCCTAGTACCTGCACACCCCGATCCAACAACTATCATAATGTCTGAGAAATCTGTTTTCCTCCTTGGTCCAGGCTATATTGGCGGCCAGATATTGGAATTCCTCTTGGAAAGAAATTACCATGTAACAACCTTGACTCGCCGGGAATCCACGGCTGCCGAATTCCACGCCCAGGGTATAAAAACTGTAATCGGATCTCTGGACGATAGATCCGTCATTCAGAAGCAAGTCTCTGTCAGCGATATTGTTTTCCATACGGCAACGGCCGACCACTTACCATCCGCAGAAGCTGTCCTCGATGGGCTGGAGGAGCGTGCTAAAAACAACCTGCAAACGATTTACATCAACACAAGCGGTACAAGCATCCTAAGCGACAATAGCGCTGGAGCGTTCAAGAGCGATATGGTTTTTGAAGATGACAAACCTGAAGGTATCGACGCACTCCCTGACTCCGCGCCGCATCGCACCATAGACCTACCAATTGTGCGTCGACGAGAGATCCTCGGCGAGCACGCTAAAATTGCAATTATGATGCCCCCGCTCATTTACGGCGTCGGTCCTGCTGGCAGATCGTCTATCCAGCTCCCGACCTTAGTCCGGTACTCATTGAAGCACCGCTACGCAGGCCAGATCGGAGAAGGCCGGTCAGTCTGGAGTCAGATTCATGTTAAGGACCTGGCACGAGGGTATCTGACACTCCTGGATTGGTTGGAGCGGACTCCTGCTGAGGAGGTCCTCCCGAACCCATATTGGTTCTGTGAAAACGGTAACGAGTTGTCGTGGAATGATTGTACGGCGGAAATTGGACGTGTACTTTACGAGGCAGGTAAGATTGAGAGTTCTACTCCCCGAACTATTCCTGTCAGTAACTACGGGGATCTTTTTGGGAAGTGGTCGGAACCTGTGGTCGGGTCGAACTCGCGAAGCAGGGCAAATCGACTACGAAAGTTGGGGTGGGAGCCCAAGGAGAAGAAGACATTGGCTTCGCTGGCCGAGGATGAAATTCCTTTGATTATGCAGGAGACGGGTCCGTTTGAAGGTTATGGCAAGGTTGTTGCTTCATGAAATTAAATGTTTTGATTCCGGATTCCGGGTTTTCGTCTTTTTAAGAAAAAAAGAAGGAAAAAAATAATGATATGTTGTTTATAAATTATCGTTTTTATGCCCCCCAAAAAAAAAATGAAATGAAATAAAAAAAAATAAAATAAAAAAAGTTCATCACTTGCGACACAAGTAAACTAGTTGGTAGGGTAAGTAGTAACATTTGTTGAAAATTACTAAGAGTTCACCTCTTTCAAAAAGATGAGGAGACTATAGGATTAGCTTTGTTAAGAATGACAGGTAAACAAAGTAATTTACGAAAAAGTCGATGGAATTGTTTATAATGGGTTGTGTTGTTTTTTGTTTTTTTATTTTGTTTTTAAACTATTTTTTATGAAAGCTATGAATGTTCATTGGAATGGACGGGAGGGAGCTCGTGTTTTCACCTAGGTGTGGCTGTAGAATCATGCAAGTTCGTCCGAAAGCATCTATGGAGTTTTTTCCATACGTTGGTATCTCTTAAAATTCACATTTAGCGTCCTTTTGCTCAATCTTGGTCCTTTGTGGAACTCAATGGAGGATGCTGGGTAATATACAATGCGTTTTCTCCGTAGCTTAATTCTTTTTAACTCAATACAGCTTGTCATTACTTACTGCAAAGAAAATATAAAGGGGTTCCTGTTCAAAGAAGGATTGTTTTTTTTTCGTTTTTTCGTTTTTTCGCTTTTCCGTCAGAGTTGTAGTTCGGTGAAATCACGGATTTTTTTCGGTCTTATTAACATCAGTTCTCCTCTTTTTCCAAAAATCTAAGTTTGGTTTTAGACAGACATTCTATATGCCCAGTACTTCGGCATATTTACAGTTGGAATTTTCAGACTGGAAGATTCAAGATTGCTGAATACATTTTAATAATTTTAATTCTTAAATAAAATACAAGACAAGACAAAAAGAACCCATAATTTGAGAATCAGATTGCAATATGATTGAAAAAACCAAAAAACAACTGCCTTGCTTACCACACTGTTTGTAACTGACGAATGGAAAAGAAGGTAACACATACAAATAAAGTGGGAATATGCGAGAACGTTCGTTCCTTCTCATCGCACAAGAGAGGGATTTTTGACGTCATAGATGGGTTTCTAGAGATATCTAGAACGGCGACTTTAACAAGGTAAACAAGTCGAACTACAAGCCAGAAAAACGCAGATTATTCATGAAAATAAAAGCGAAACTATAATAATAGTTAGAACTAATAAAAAGAACTAAAACGAGCAACGAAGAAACGGAAGGAACTATGTCGAAATCTCTAGAAGGATTAGAAGGACCAAGTGGTGGCAAGTCATCACAATCTGGAAAGTACTAGGTCGCTTATAGAAAGTTTGTTATTCTCGGTAGTTCAGGTATAAATAGGAGTGAAGTAGGGTCGATTCTACAACATTGACAAAAAAGAAAAAATAAATCAGGATTCTTTGATTGTTATTTGAAATCAACAAGCGCTATTTACAATGTCTCTTCAACCTTTCTTCGATTTATACCCATTTCAAGACGGTCTTTCCGACTTTTTGAGTTATTCCCCTCGTGTTCAACGCCAGGATCGTGCTGTTGATTTGTCACCTGCCATTGATGTTCACGAAGGCAAAGATACCGTTGCTGTTGATGTAGAACTTCCTGGTGTCAAAAAGGAAGACGTTCAAGTTCATTACGACGAAGGAAAACTTACCATTTCTGGTAAATCCGTGAATGAACGTAAAAGTGAAGATGAGAAAGGAAACCATAGATGGTCTGAGCGTCGCTTTGGATCCTTCTCTCGTACTATCTCCATCCCCAGCAGGATCGATTCCGATCGTATTGAGGCCCAATTTTCTAATGGCATTTTGAGTATTATTTTGCCCAAGATTGAGCAATCCCGCTCCAAGAAACAAATCGCCATTAATTAAGCTAAGGGCTAGCGGTGTAATGAGTTTATGTTACGATATGATTGTGATGAGAACTTATAATGGCATAATATAATGATTTTTAATCTAGTTTTTGACATTTTTAATAAAAATTTATCAACTTTAAAAGGTACCCAGTTCAATATTGTTTATATCAAGTAGCAGTGTGATAAAAATAATGTAAGCTTACAAGTCTACAATCTAAGTCGTTTAGTCGTTGCATGCTTTTTCTTCAATGTAGATAGATTTATTGATGGTGGTTATAAACTGCTCATTTTCAGTTTGCTTACTGTGTAGCATAGCAGTTCAATTCATTTGGGGTAGGTTGCGACTAAATATATCTCTCTATTCGTCCCATTATTTTAATATAGCTGTTAATAACCCTATCTGTATGGCTAAGCTAGACGACTAGTTTCCCGTCTCCTCCTTTCAGTAAAGTAAAGTAAAGTAAAGTAAATTAGATATAGAGTATATAGATTGGCGACAAAAGAAATATAAAATGAGTGAGTGAGTCAAGACACAAGCTTCACATATGGGTTTTTTCGCCGTAATGTTTCACCAAACCGATAAAACACGAAAGGAATTGGGATCATTCCAAGAGCAATAAATCCTACCAAAGTCCCTCCCCAGTGAACCCCCAACTTTTTAAACATAATACGCGAAAATAAAGGAAACGTAGCTCCAAAAATTGATCTAGTAAATGTATTCGCAGCGATAGCCGATGCAGCAAATTTTGTAAACGTATCAACAAGATAATTAAGACAGCCCTGGAAAATCGTTTCAAATCCTACACCGATCAAGAATATACCAATAAATGATACTATCCAATGAATTTTGGCATATGAAGTCCAAGCAAAAACAAATATTCCGGCCGGCATAAGCCAGCCTGCCATCATCATCAAAGGTAATCTTTCTTCAGGAAGAGGTTTCCCACCGTTTTTTGTCAAATATTTCGCGTATCTTTTATTCCAAAAAATATTCAACACACCTCCTGTTACTAAGCCCAAAAACATTGCAATCAAGGGAAGTGTACCAACGGTTCCCTGCCAGTTTCTTGACTGATAATATGTATACGGAATGGTAGTTAAAACTAAATACAGAATGCCGTATACATAACTAGCAAACAAGGCGATGAAAAAGGCGACCGGAGTTGCCAGCATTGCAAAAGGTCGCAAAAGGTGATAGGTAACAAACTCCTTTGCGTCTAATTTGTATCGTTCATGAGCAGCATGGAGACCCCAATTTCCTGTGGTTAACCGTAAATTTCGTGCTTGACGAGCTTCAATTACGGGGACGTAAGTTTCATCAATCATGATTATACTAACAAGTAAAATCGCAGACTGTACGATCACTATAAACCATAATGGCCATCTCCAGGCCGTATCCGAACCTTCTGAAAGCAAGCTACTAATGATGGGACCAAAGTCAGCACCACTAACAACAAAAAAGGCATAAAAAACTAAAGCAGTGCCTCTTTGGGATGGGTTCCAAAGGTCAGCCAGTACACCACCCGAAGAAACAATGGGAGCGCCAGAAAACAAACCGGAAAAGAAACGAGTGCACATAATGGCGGCCACACTATCAGCACTAGCAGTGCCTGTCGTGAGGATTATGGAGATGAAAAAAGGCAAAAAGACACCCATTTTTCTGCCATTCATTTCTGAGAAAGGTGCAAAAATCATAGGGCCAAAAGCAATTCCCAAGACATAGAGCGACGTAGCTAGTGTCGCCACTTCTTCACCGATGTGATATACGTTTGTCAGATGTTCAGCAGTAGGTGACATTGTCGTACTGTTGAACTGTGCAGCAAACGTTGTCAGTCCGTACAAAGCTGTGTGGACGATTTTTTTCACAGTAGACCAGTTCATGGGTCGTTGAGGGTCATTCTTGTCAATGTCAACCAAAAAAATAACATCAGGGTATGATTTGGATATTGTAACTCCTCTCCCATTTTTCTACTTCTCTCTTTTTCGAGAATCGTTAAGCCTTCAGGGAATTGTTCTTGATGTCCCTCCATTTTCGACAATACAAATTGGGCTCATGTCATTATGTTTATTATTTATTAGTCCTCAATTGATAATAATGGGAACTTTTTTTCTTTTCTACCCACTAACCTCCACTTCAACTCTATAGCTTACTTTTACTTTGACTTAGCTTGCCCTGGGTAAATTGGAGAAGAATACTGTTGTACTCTAAATATATAAACTTTGAAACTACTAAATGTCAAAGCCGAGATATTGTATTGTTATAATATCATAGATGTCACGTCACAGGCAAAGTCTCATTTGTTATGAGTGTGAGTATTCACTGGAAATAAATACACAATAAAACAAGAATTGTACTTGAATCGGATGTTTTTGTACTACTAGAAATGAATAGTAATAGCTTCCAGGGATCTGATTCACCAAGCAAGTTGTATAAACAATATATTTAGCTAGGTCAGTCAAATTTTCCAATCTGAAGATTTGGCTTAATAGTTTCTGCCTATTTATAATTAGTAACAAAAGTCTTTATCTAAACTAATCTCTTTGTCTTTTTTTAATTCTTTGTCTAACAGCTTCTGTGTTTTCATTGTACTAATGAATCCTATTGTTATATGATAATTGTATCAAGATATTAGTAATATCGTTTACCGGTTATGACATTAACTTAATTTATTATCAGTTATGAAATAACATCAACTAGTCATCAGGCGCCTATTAAATGAACCTTAGGACTTGCAAGAAAGTTGAAGCAAAAAAGTAATTCATCCTTTGGATAACATACCTAATTGGATTTCGCATATGCTTCCACTTCAATCTCAATTTTCATTTTGGGGATTGCAAGCTTTGTGACCCCAATCGCTGTCCAGAGGGGTTTATGGTTGGGAATACGTTTCTTTAGGTTTTCAACACAGAGGTTGAAAGAGGAATCCATATCGACGTGGTATGAACGGACCGAGTAGACATCCTCCCATCCTCTCATGCCAACGGTTTGAAGAACTCTATCTACATTTTGAAAAACAAGAGCTACTTGTCCTTCGATGTCATCACCATCTATTTCGCCGCTGGGATCCCATCCACCTTGACCAGAACACTTTACAATGTCGCCAATGACAACGGCTTGTGAGTAGTGATAAAGATCATTGTTTTTTTGACCGGCACCCTCATCATTGTAATAAGTTAAGCTTGACATTGTAGTGAAAGAGAATCAACAAACTAATAAAGTTTAAAAAAGCAACAGGAAAATGTGTTTGGTTGAGGTTGGCTTTTAGTAAGACGAAGCAAAGTACCACGTCACCTAGATGATGACTAATGTTTTAACTGATGCCACTGTCACAGGCGAAGTCTCATTTGTTATGAGAATAATTATTCAATGGAAATAAATATACAATTTAACAAGAATTGTACTTGAATTGGATGCTTTTATACTACTAGAAAAGAATAACAATAGCTTCCAGGGATCTGATTCACCAAGCAAGTTGTATAAACAATATATTTAGCTAGGTCAGTCAAATCTTCCCATCTGAAGATTTGATCTTTCAACTAGAGGTATATATACTTTTCTAGGATTAGTAAGTTTCTTAATAACCTTAGTTCTAGATTTTTAAAGTTTTCAATCGCAAAAATGAATTTTTACTTTTTTTTTAAATAACATATTTGATAATACAATATGATTATCGTATCAAAGTAGTAGTAATATCGTATACCGGTTATGACAATTATGTCTTTACGCGTATCTATGAGCATATTAGTATATAGCAGTAATGCTTATAGCATATTATTGCTGGTAGTATCGTATAATCAAAAAGCTTATATCATATATGTAGAGAGCTGTATGTTTTAATGGGGTACATGCATCATTGTGTAATTACTATTACAATATACTTGTACACTTTCTTTTTCTGCAGCAATAGTAAGGCATAAATTGGAATGAATTTGGATTTGGCTAGAGAGCTGAATAAATAGAGTTTTTCGACTACGCAAGACGTATCGGCAAAGTATTGTTCCCCTAAAGAAGAGAAGTATATGAGTATATTCGCGGACTTCCTGTATTGCTTAATGGATACGAGTGTATACCCTGCATGGAGAGCGGGAACGGTTATGTGCATGAAATCTCGACACATTTCATCATCATATACGACATTAGCATTATCATGGAAAGAAGAGCTTGGAAGAATGCGAACAGCGTGTACCGCTGCAAACACTAAAAAAAGGAATCAATCAGAGAAATCGCTTTTCTAAAATAAAACTAGGGTCCGGTTGCTGGAGAAGACGAACAGAAAGTTTCTTCGGCGATTGTTGATTCTATGTGGACACCTTGCACAGAAGGTGAAAGTGAAGACGTAAATGAGATAGAAAATCCACACTCCAAAACGAACGCACGACTGAATTGGCAGGCTGTGGCAGAAGAATTTAACGATGCTCGGATAGAGGATTACGGTATGCCTATGAGTTTTGTCCATATCTTGCTCAATTTATTTACAGTTGTCGTCTAGTTGCCGCGTCAGAGTTTCGACATGATCCCAATTCGATTTATCCGTGCATTGGCGAAGCTGGAAATGGTCTGGTTCAATTCAGTCTAGATGATTTGATTCAACTGTATAAATCGCTTATTCGAAAGGATGCAGTGCTTTTTTCGAGAACTTTGCTTTGGAGTCAAGGTAGAAGAGTTGTTGTTGCCGTACTCGCTGCTGAATTCCCATTCCATTGAAGACGAAATCAACGACAACAATCTAAATTATAGTTTTCTGAAAAGTTCTCTGGAATGCTCGATGTCAAAAATAGTTTTGCTGCGAACCGTGTTGGAAAATCAAGAGCTTCGATCTCGGTTTCTACCTGGAACAACGTGGGAAGGAGTAGAAGAATTTGTGGATTCCAACAAAGACAACCCGATCGGGTCTTTCAATAAAGTACAATGGTCAAGTAGTCAAGTATTGCGATCAAGAATTATGCTCAAAAGGCATCGGAATTCAATGAGCTTTTGTACTATTTGGTGTACATCTCTGCGGGTCAACCGGTGCGAGCTCAAGAAATGGGTTACTGGTATTTAAAAAAAAAAAATACAAAGTTTAAGGCTAGATAGCTGTACGTTATATTGGAAGGCTGATGATTTACACCAGGTATGACAAGACAAGACAAGACAAAACACGAAACATAAAGTTTGCTGAAAAGCCCATTGCTAGGTTTCTGCCCGAGCCTCTTTCCATACTTGCAATACGATACTATGCATTAGTGCGACCATTTGAGTCTTTATTGAGTTATGTAGAAACTCACGACGCCAAAGCGGCCTCCATATATGACAAGGCAATGTTTGTTGTAGGAGGTCTGGTCAACTATTGACAACGGATGCGCCTTATCGGATTTTTCCAAGAGTGACTTATGAGAATATTTAAAAGTCTTTGGGATTTAGGAATTATCGTCACATTTGTCATTACTTTAAGGAAAGAAATATCGAAGAAGATGGGGTAAGAAATTCGTTCTTTGACATGTAAGCTGGTCATGCACGGAGTACGGCTTTGCTAATTTATGGTCGCAGTTCTGACAATTTGAATAACTTGCCGGCGGATTTGTTCACAAACTTTTTTCGGACGAGTTTTCGATGGCAAGAGCTGTTAAAAATTAAAGACAATAGTAGCGGTGGATTCATAATTGAAGCCAGCAAGCCACAAAACAAGCTTGACCAATTATTTGAAAAAAATCGACGAGATAAAAACGACGCAACAAGGTTTGGCGGTATGGAAAGCGAAAGCGAAAGCGCAGATACAAGCACAAACTCAGACGCAGGACGGCGACAATTATGGAAACACCGATGTCGTTGAGAAAGAATATCTTTGGGAAGGAAAACAAAGCCAAGAGCTGAATTTTAATTTAAATTTTAGTCAAGCAACGGTTGCTGTTGTTCCAAGGATTAGGACAACGACTGAGACCGAAGAACAACAAACGCAAAGCAACCCAACTTTGTATGCAGCTGCACCGTCACCGTCACCGTCACCATCACAATCACAATCACAATCACCATCTATGTGTCCATCTCAATTCTCAATCGACGATTGAACTTTGCGTGTATGCTTTGTCAAAGTTTTATGGTAAGCCATCAAAGTTTCGTTCTATGGAGCAACTTGAGTCTGTCTATTTTTCGTATTTGAAACGTGTCAACTTGATCTCGGTACTTGCAACAGGTTCAGGGAATTCTCTGTCTTTTTTATTGCCTTCGTTTATTGAAAAGAAAAGCGAACTGGACTTATTACCGTCGTTTTGGTACCTTATCTCTCATCTCTCTACGGCAGGATATGGCACGAAGAGCAAACGAGAGAAGGACTCTGGTTTGTTTTAATGAGTGGAAACTATATAAGCGGACGCCGCCAAATTCATCGAATCTATCGGATATGTTTATTCTTTCTTATGGCTCGGCATTGACGAACGAAGCACAGTGTTTTTTTTTTTTTTTTTTTTTTGAGAATCTTGCTGCCAATGGACGGCTGGCCCGAATCGTTGTTGATGAGGCACATAGTTTGTTGACAAGACAGATGGCGGTTGGAGGCACGTGTTGTGGAAAGCGTCGAGGTTATCTGGGATTGCGGCGCCAATTATTCTTCTTAGCGCTACGTTTCCCCGTGAACTACAGGTTCGTGCTAGTGAGACGTTTTGTACGCATTTTCAAGTAATCAAAACACTAACGGCTCGAAAAAACATTCATTATCTATTAAAGCAGCTTGACAAGGAAAACTTTTTAAGCGATCTCCGCGACTTGATGATAAGAGCCAGAGTTTTTAAAGGAAATGGCCGAGCAATTCTATTTTGCCGGACAAAGAACAATGTGGAGGAATTGCGAGTAAAAATAAACTCTGCAGGAAGGATCGATACTTGTGCGGTTTCGTATACAGGCGATATGGCATGGCAGAGGAAGAACGAAATACATGTTTCAATATGTTTACAGACTTGGAAAGCAACGACAATCGTATTATAGTATGGTGGCCACGAAAGCTTTTGGGCTTGGTATCGATTACCCGGAAATGCGTCTTGTGATTCACTATGGGTCACCGTCTACGTCTATGGATTTTGCGCAGGAAACAGGTCGTGCTGGAAGGGATGACAAGTTTTCGATTGCTGCTATGTTTTACAGAAAGCATGAAGTGACTACATCAGCGTATATTGACGTTAGGATGAAAAACTTCGTTGAAGACAAATCAATGTGCGTTCGGTCGTTTTTAGCAAGTGAGATGGATGGTCAATGCAGTGGCTGTGACTTTATGCCTGACTATGTCGTTTGTTTTCGTTGTAACCCGGGATTGCTGGATGAAATCAAAATTCTCATAATGAAGTCTTGGTCTGAGTAAGTACTGAGTCTAAGCCTAAGCCTAAGCCTAAGTAGTAAGTAGTAAGAACTAAACAATGTTGAAACTGCTAAAACAAAGGAAACACAAACCAGTTGATGAAAATTTGTTTCAAATGTTTTCTTTTTATTTTCAAATGTTATTCTTGTTGTTTTTAGACAGCTTTTCTTGGCTCAATCTTGTAGGAAAACATTTCTTGTTATATATAAAAATGGAAAAGAATACAAGTAAATTGGTGTTTTTTTCATTCGACTTCGTCGAGTTTTCGTCGACTTGTTCAACTTTCAACTTATTTGGTTGATCGAGGGAGCAGTGGTTTGAACAGAAATGACTTTGAGTAATGAATTCTACTATAGTGTTATATATGACAAGACATTGGTTGTAATATAACAAGACCATACCATTCTTTACGTTATGGTTCAGTAATTGTAATTGTAAAGAAGGAGCAACACTTGGGCGTCATCATTTATTTGATAGGATTCTAAAGTAGTTCTGTATTACCTCTTTCAAGCCACTGTGCTTTTCGCTATACTTGTAAGCCCGTGGTTGAACAAAGTTGCTATTTTAGTTTCGTGTGCGCCGTCGCACATTATGTTAGTATATTATAACGATGCACGTTTGTTTTGGTAAAACTATTTTAGCCGCTTTGCTATATTTGCAAACCGCTGTCGAACGCGTATGCCTTATTATGGCTAGTAGATTTTACCACAACTCTCGTTACTAGCGTTTAAGGGACTAGTTTTTTATCAATAATAAGTAAACAACCTTTTTGAAAAAGTATTGAAAATAATTAAAAAAAATAAAATACAACTAGGTAAACAATATAAAGCTATGGAAAACGGTAAAATAAAACAAAATATTTATAAATAATTAGAAAATAGAAAATAGAAAATAGAAAAGAATCGCAAAGAAAATCATGAAAGCGTAGAAAATCAAAGGTACTTGCTAGTACACATTTGTAATATATTGTTGCATAGTGATTTTCTGACACTGAGATCTGCTTCACAATTATTAGCTGTGATAAAGACCACAGCGATGTTTTTTATTATTCTTAATAGTATTTTCTATAAATTTGGATAACTGTTGATTTGTTGCGGCAGACGTGGTTTCAAGCATTCACTGACGCTTGCACCAGCGTGTACCTGTTTATACATTGATTTGTAATTAGATACAATATTTTTTTTTATTGCGAAAGCTTTTGCACATAAAGAGCAAGGCGTCCAGTCTCTTTCGTTTCGTTTCACCTGGTTGGACTCGGCTGGGTTGAGTTCAGTTGATTGACAGAGACAACTCGGAGGACGCGAACAGAGAACGTAGACAGTAGAATGAAAACAGTTCAGTATGATATATTCTTACAGTACAAATAGGACATTACAAACTATAAAACAGTATGATACAACACTGTAATTAGTATTCTAATACAGAAACTTCAACCGTAAGGCTTGCAAGGGATTGAGTTTGCAAAAAAAGCAAACGTTTACTAGTCATACTCAACACAAGGTACTTGGCACATGGCCCACGGCAGGTGCCAACTTTGCTTACAGTTGTATAATAGTAAGACTTAACATACGACACTCAAACGCTCACAATTCAAATAATGGTTTTGTATTGGGGATGTCGTCAATCTCTTATGACTTCGGTTGCTTTCATTATACGAAAGAAAAAAGAAAAAAGACAACAGAATATACAAAACAGACCCAAAACAAAAAAATAATTAACCCATAACCCATAACATTTTAACCCAAGCAACATAACCGTAACCCCAAGTTAACCCGGATAACCCAAATACCCTTAACCCAAGTAACCCCAGTAACCCCGGTAACGGTTTGGGTTTGTAGGGCTGTCGCTCGTTGTACTTGGGTAGAAATTAGTCGGTTCTTTCATTCTACAAACGACAACAGAAAAAACAAAACACACCCAAGTAAAGAATAACA